CCCAGGCTGCAGAGGAAGCAGCCGGTGATACAGGGCCTGCAGAGGGTCAACCTCGCCGCCGCGCGCCGCCTCGCTGCAGCATGTGTGGTGTTCTTGGACATACACGTACGAGGTGTTTAACAAGGAAGGATTAAGCACAATTGCAGGCGTTTAAACAGCTATATAAACGTTTAAGAATACTGCATTTTTTGTATGTAAATCAAAATTCCGATATGGGTGGCATAACCGGCTGCTTGCCAAGACTGCGGTGGCCGACTCGCTTACGTGGCCGACTCGCTTACCGATTACGTTACATTGCGTGACGTCATCGGGGTTCTTTGCCAAGCATTAGAAGTAGCTTGGCTTGGGACAAACGCACAATCAAGCCTGATAACTTCACTGCGCCACGCTACTCCCATTCGGGAGATTAAACAGGCACGGTTTCTTAACTTCCTTTTTGAGGCAATGACTCGGGATGTACTACTGCGTGATCATAGCCAGGTTCTTGAATAATGTCTCCACGAGACTTATCCCTGAATGAGACATTTAATGTATGATTATCTTTCGTCTTCAGCTACAATTCTGATAAATCAATACGATTCTTACCAACAGGTTATTGGTAAGGCCCAGTACCCACGCGTGAATCCTGACAATTTGAATTTGAATTTGAAGACAACCATGAGTCTAAATAATAGTGAGCAATGATGTCTGCTTCGAGGAATATGGTATTCTATTGCAGCAATTCCTATTCTGCCGGTCGTTTAGAATAAGTATATGGGCAAACTACCCAACCCCTCTCTCCGACTAGGACATATCTATTTTGCGCAATTTCGAAAATTCGGTCTCTAAAGAATTTTTCCTTCAACCACGTGTGAGTCATTTATCATGCATTTTGTGGTGTCGATGGGAAAATCTTCATCTTCGTCTATGTTAGCCTTGAGCGACAAGCAGGCGGGCAATAATCTCTTACAATAGTGTTCAGTTGTATCAGAATGATCACCATCACGCTTCAACCATATGCCGTTTTTTATATGAGTCCATTGTGTTCCGATTGCTGCAGATCCCATCATCCCAACCCCAATGTTTGAAGCTGCTGTGAATGTTCCCGCAGCAGCACCGCCCATCGCAGCACCTTGTAGGGTGGCAAACAGACTCCCAGCCTGAACCACCCCGAGTGAAGATTGCCATGCTGCAGCAAATGAGGCTGCAACAGGCCCCGAGGCGCTGAAACCAACCGCGCCTAGTACTGCAGGCCCGGTGATAGGCGCTGTAGCAAGGGCAAGCCCCGTACTACCGACAGCTAGAGCAGTTTTATGTTCTTGCGCAACATCCTGGCCGAAGGAAATAGTGGAGTTTATTGCATCACGTAGGTATTCCATGGTTTGGAAGAGAGATCGAATAATTCTCGAGATTTGAGCTATGAAGGATAGATAAACAGAGGAACGGTCGCTTAGAAGTTTCTCAATCAAAGGATTGGATGTGAACGAAACGTTAGTCCTGCACAACAATTTACAACAAGAAGACTGCAGTAGGGTTTAATTAGTCTTCGGGTTAGAATGAGGGGTAGTGGAACGGTAGTTATAGCACTGACTCAAGAAAATGGAGTGCCAGTGGACTTCCGATTCTATTAGGCTGTCTCCAGTTGCAATATTTACCAAAGTAGCATAGTCGCAATTACTGCAATCCATTATTTCGGCTAGTAATGGTTGATAACAGGGTTCAACCAGTTACGCATATCTATGGCTTTACGCACATGTTGCTACAAGACTGATCATGATTTGTCTTATCGTAGTTTCCTTACTGTGAACCAGTTGATGTCATGCCAGGCAAAACAGATGTGAATAGAACGTGTCTGGCTTGCTAAAATGAGTCGGGGGTAACACTAGCACTAACAGAGATCTTCACTTGGTATAAATAATCTATGCTTTAAGTTCGATCTGGAGGTATGAAAGAAGGCGGTTCACGGCAGCACTTTCCCAGGTAAACGGGACGAATCAAGCCATGTTGAGCAAAAGCGAATACAAGTATGATGTAAAGCATTCATAAATAATCGCAGAGGCGCATGATCACGTTGAGTTGCTGCGATGCTAGGTGCATCGTACCAAAAAGTCGTTTCCTGTATCAGTTGTTCTAGTGCCGATGGATTTGTTCTCTGAAAGGCGAAGGGCAACAAGCCCAACATTCGACTTGCGTGCAAGCATGCAAAATGGGCTGCGAGCGGCCATAGCCTGTTTCTGAACCACACCAGCCACCACCACAATCCTAAGAGTCGCATTGATCTGCCGACTATGCTGGATCATTTCCTAAACAAAACTTCCGGTATTGATGACCGAGTCTACAAGAATTGCTCTGTCTATTGCTTGAATTTTACACTCGATAAGACCCCACCTTTCCAGCTGGAGTCTGTAGATCCAGACCACATTTTGAAGTAGCCGAGGTGCTCGGACTCTCTTCTGCAACTTATCCGCTAGACGCTCGATTGCAAGGAAGAATATTTCATGCTCATTCATAAATGGTACAGCTCAGGCATATGTATTGCTCGAAATTAATATAATCACCGTATATCAAACATTGCAACAAGTTTGTGTGGGCTGGATAATTCGCTGCAGTTACCAATTGCAGCCAATCCCTTAGAAGTAGGTTGCACTAAGTGGCACTGTTTCCACGATCGTGCCAGCATGAGTCTGTAAGTATCCGTGACTCTTGCTACGTATATCTAGAACAGCACCCAAAAACTGCAATGGACATGAACGAAAGGGAGAATTTACAGGCCAATTATGGGCCATTCTTGTATCTGAGTCGACATAACCTTCGTTGGTCACTTGGTCCTCTGGGATCTCTCGATAGCTATCAGTCACCAACCCGAGGAATTGGCGAAAGCTTTCGTAGATAGAGAACGATTCGAAGTAAAGAGTGCCAGCGAATAGACCCAAATCCTGAGCGGTAGCTTGAGGCTGACGGGGCATTGTAAGACCGAGGCCTAATTGTAGGAAATCCAGAGAGTCGAACGACCGCATGATTTTTGTTGTTTTTGGAGTGTAAATGAGCAGTCTTGTCTTCTGCGAGGACCGGATGAGGTGGAAGAGCTCGTTGACTTCGTACTGACTCAGAAGGAGCAGTTCCTGGTTGTACGCATTCGCAAGAACCCAGTGAGCGGGCTTAAGAAAATCATCGGTACAAGCTTGTTCTCTTTGCTTTACAGTGCAAGTAAAGTCCTCTGTCGCGAAGAGACGAGGGGCTAGTGAAGTCGGAAAGTCAAACTGGCCCGCCGAAGTTTGCCGAAAGATCTCAAATGCTGGTCGAACTGCAGTGGAACTGCTTTCAGGCAAAGTGCCATGGGTTACGAGGTAACGAACGTCGTCATGGACACGGTGAAGTGCTGCAGGAAGCCCGGGAGGTCGACAACTCTGCTGCTCTCTCTGAACTTCGTGGCTAATTTGACGCTCATGTTCCTCGTGCAACCCAGGCCCCTGTTGCATACCTCGACCTGAGTTCCCCCAAACATTCAAGAGTTTTTGTATTGCAGAATTACTCGTATCCAGCTTTTCGTCAACAGACGAAGCCTCGGGTTTGTTCCATGGGGCGTATAATTGAGACAAGGTCCGGGCCTCAGGTTCTTGCATATGCCGAATGGCCTCTTGCGGGGGGCTTTCCGCTCGCAACAACTTATCCCATGCTATTTGACGCTTGTGATATTGTAGCCCTTGAGATGCCCAGAGCGGGGCCAAACTTTTGAAAACATTGCATGTCTGGACTAGGGCCCATCGAACCACGTCGAGTGAAGTGATGGCTGTGCCCTGCGATGACATATTGCGACTCACACAAGGTGGAATAACAAACGTCACGGATTGCCCTTGACCTATTCCTCGCATCCTGTTGCATGCTGTGAAACTCTTTGTCAGTCATGATCACGAACGAAAATGATATAAGCGGATCCTCTAGGTCACACGTACCTTGTACTAGTCTATCTTTGGCTAAGCGAGGACCCAATGTCACCGCGGCCCTATAATGCGAGGGAAGCTTCAGATCTACACCGCGAGAATGTTGCTGATCGAGAAACACTAGGCATTTCGCCATGTGTTGTCGAAATGGGGACGATACTAGTCTCTCGACGTGTCCTCCACGATCAAGCACAACCACCTCATCAGACTCATCAAAAAAGATGGCGGCCTCCACATTAGCGGATGCAGTTGTAGAAAGCCACCGTTGCGCAACGCTTCTGTTGCTCAGTTCGAGAATCTGCGCCCCCACGTCTATGATGACCTGAATCGGGGGATCCTGCCGGGAAATGAGATCGAGGAGCTGCTCCGCCTGAAGTTGACAGCCTTGCGTATCCTGTGCTAGAATACACCGCTTGTTCTCCTCGCGTAAAAGGTGGCCCAAGACCATCGCATTGGTATGCAGGAGTTCCGGTAGATCATGCTGCGGCGCAGAATGTGGAAGAAGGAACCGGTTATCATTAGTCCCGCTGAAGCCAGTGGTAAGTGGCCGGTCAGACTTTGAGGGCAGATCCCACGCAGAAGTGCATAGCTTGTGAGGAAATTCTTTCGCCTCCCTTGGAAATACAACTCGCGAAAGATAGAAGTCGATGAGTCCTTTCTGATGCTGCAGATGAGGGTAGAGAATTTTCAAAAAAGCCCCTGTGTCTTCCAGGTTAACACTGGTTAGCGCTCGGAGCTCCTCAGGTAGAGTGGATACATCTCTACGGATCCAGTCTTGGTACGCAGCCTCAGGGTCATTCTCCTTCCCTAGCAGGGTGAAGCAATGCCGAACTTGCTCAACACTGAGGCCGTGGTAGTAGTAGCTCAAGCACGTCAGAATGATTGCCACGTCTGGATGGCCAAACTCTGCGTGCTCGGATGGAACTCCCTTCGCCCGGAACGGCACTGCCATCATGCATCGGCTCGGAGAAAGGCCGTAGTCCACAAGCCACCTCTTTGCTGCTAGGGCGAACCCGAGAATGCCGTGGGCGAGGAAGCCACGCAGAGCCAGCAATTTGCGCAAGACATTCCCCTGCCCAAAAGTGTCTCGGGGGACCTGCACCTCCAGCGGCGTCAGGTCAGGGAACCGGATAAAATTGAATGCGCGATGACGGATATGGCGGGCCCAGAGATGCAGCGGTAGTCCGGGTAGACCTTGTTCGTTGATAGACGTTAGAACCATGTCTACCAAGACATTTACCGCGTCGGCATTCAGAAAGTGGAAAACAGGGTACCGAGCACCATGGTACTCAAAATTAATACTGGCCGGGTCCTGGACATGGAGTTCTCTCGCTTGCTGTTCCACCACCGACAGCAAGCCCTGCACGATTTGCCAGCGATCACTATGCCCATCCAGGGACTGTTGATTTCCGACAGTGTACACTAACTGAAATTTGGGGTCGAGAATCTCGTCGCTCTCGTCAATGATATTCCGGCAATTATCTTGCAGCCACGCCTCTAATGCGATCGCTTTCTGGGCTAGGTTTGGCTTCCGGTACACCAGGTCTAGCCCTACTAAACGAAACGATAGAATATGTTCCGGCAGCGCGATCAAGACTCCTTGATTCTTTTGACATTGCTCGTAAATCATCCTTAAAGCTTTGATCATCTTTTTATCGAGAGGGGTATCCCTCGAAAAAGGCACATGATAGATGGGTCGACCCAGTATCCTGCCCAGTAGCTGAGTGAGTATATCTAAGCTTTGCCGAAAGAGGGGTTTGAGGACAATGATTTGTGGTACTTGGGAGCCGTCTGCTAGTACCATCGCGACCATAGGAGTAATCACGCTGGTCTTTCCTTCGCCCATATTCAACTGCAGAACGGAGTTTCCAGGCGGGTCAGGGCAGATGATCCGCTGTGCAACCTCGGCTTGGCAGGCACGAATGGTGATGTTATTCTCAATCTCAAGTAGAAGCCATTCCGGTCTTGTCGCAGCATCCCATCCTTCACACTCCGCAGCCTCGGCTTCCTTGAAAAAGCCGTCGATATCGACCCGGTCGTAGAAGAGTAGAAGACGTCTGCAGCGACGTAAAGTTGCGACACACTTAGCGAAGCTTAGTATTGGAGTCTTCCACAACTCTGGAACTCGCTGCCATTGATTAGCCACGAGGAGTGACAAGATAGAGAGCACATTGATTTGTGGCCAGAGTAGGCCACTCGCGATCTTTTCTGTGGCTCTATTGGTAGCGCTCAATGCTCGATAAAGACAATTCCAGAGGTCCTCTGTCTGTCGTTCGAGCATATGACATTCACACTCAAGGACATCGCGCGGCACAGGTAGCGACGTAGGTAAACATGGCAAATCGCTTATTTCTAAGGCGTCGAGGCTCTCCTGAAGGCCGTCCCCATATTCCCGATAGTCTGGATCGACATTGTTACGAAATTCAGACACAAGGGCAAGGAGCTTCGAAGTTGTCGCGCTTCTGTGCCGCGTGGGAAGGCGATGCCTGGAAAATTTCAGAGGAGGTGGCTGTGGAATAGGCACGGTAGTCATGATATCACGTGACTGTATTAGGCCCAGTAGCGAGGGTGGGCAATATGTTGTTCTGGCGGAATTAAGATGAAGCGGCGCTGGCGGAACGTTCCGAACAGGCCCCAGTGGTTCGGTTCCACTCGTATTTAGCCGAGCCTGGACCTCTCGAAGGAATCGCAGGAAGGTGCGATTTTGGTACCACTGGGTACACAGCAAAGCACAAGCCTTTGAGGCGCCTTCGTAGTCTAGTTGGGAACAACCCTGGAGCTGAGGCCTTTCGCACGGCCATTGCTCCATGACGTGATCCCGGCATTGAGTCAAGTATATCTCCTTTTCCAGACTATACCTTTCTCGGTCCTCCTGAATCTCTTTCCCTCCTGTTTTTGACAGATTTGACAAAGGCGAACAGTTTTGGAATGGAGCGTAATGGGAGCTGACAAGAGCTGTAATTTCGGATGGAACAGGCTCTTCTCCTCGCTGCAAGTTGAGCACGGGTCCCCGTTCCCCGTAGCCCGGCACCGGAAGATCAGCAAATTGACCCGAAAATGCAACCGAAAGTAACGGTCGCAGGTTGGACAGTTGCTCGTCTCCTTTGAAAGCAATTATACAGAAGAGAGACATGAGGCTGTATGAGCTCTGTCGCCGATCCGGCGACCGGCACAGCTCATACAGAGCGCCCCATGCGTCTCCGAATGACAATTCCAGTAGCTCATTATAATTAAGGTCAGCAACACGCATGGCAGCAAGCTGCACGTGTTTCCATGAGCTCACTGTCGAATACAGTTCTGAACATTGCGGTACCCATTTCGGCCAGTCACGAATTAGAGTCGCCACCTCATAGACACGGCCGCTTCGTTCACTCCCGCTGCCGCGGTCGCGCGCCGAATACGGCGACGGCGTCGGTGCGGAGCGCACTATGCTGCCCCCGAATTCAGCAGGGTAGAACTGCGCGTTGCGGAAACGGGCCCTCTCAATCAAATGTGGCTCACCCCGATCCTGGTAGCAATTCACGTATGCCTCCTGATCCTCCGTGCTGACATTATGCAACATAGAGAATGACTGAGCATGGTCGGCGATCATTTGAACGAGGGCCCGGAAGTCGTCGTGCTGTGCCAGTTCCCCGAGATCGCTATTCCACTCGACTGACTGCATGGTCTTCAGATGACTTGGATAATACGTTCGTCGTGGCGTCAATGCTGCCAGACGCCCCAGCAGCTTGATGCTCTCTTTTTCGAGGGGCAAAGGTGACCGCAACCTCGCCTGCCGCAAGATTCGAAGGGCTTCGGCGGTTCCCGGTCGCTGGATAGAGGGATCCGCGAGAACAAAGCCGGTGAGCGCATGCATATAAGCCTGGTAGAGTATTCCCAGCATATCAGATGGGCCTCGAAGTTCCTGCATATCTCGATCCAAAAAGTACTGGAAATATCGGATGCGACGCTCCTCTGGTGGCTCAATTTGGACGACACTATGATGTCTCGCCTTCCACAGTTGAGCGTCCCCAAACGGTATCAATACCGATCGTTGGCTCTTTTCCTTGATGTCTTGTAGAACCAATTTGTTCTTGAGGCCATAAAAACATCCGATATCCTGGTCCCTGTCGACGATGGCATGCAACTCAGGAGATTCTAACAGACCGTCTCCATTGACGAGAAACCGCAGCCGTAATCTAATCATATCGACTACGACGATGCCCTCTGAATTTTGATACACAATCATATGATCTGGCCTATCCAATGCCGCCAGTAAATTGGACAGTTGGCTGAAAAGTTGGCTATGGACGCCAATCATCGTGCAACGAGGTCGCACCATGACGGCCGGTTCTGCATCCGTGAAGTTGGTCGAAAGACGCCAATTACGCTGATCAGGCTGCCATGCCTGCGCGAGTGGACGGAATTCCAGCGTTTCATCTTCCAGGTTGAGCCAGTGTGCGTAATCTGTGAGCAGACACTGGGGAAAGTCTCCCTGAAGCCAGTCGTGCGGAATAAATTTGAGCACTTGACCGGCCTTCTCAGCCTTGACAAGAAGACGATCTTCTTCCTGTCCAAAATGAACCTATTGACCACAATGAGCTTCTTGCATCACAAGCAGTCTCCTGCCAGAAAAGAAAGGATTACCTGATAGCCTTCAAATGGTCGCGCGGACATGAATCTACATCCAGGCAAATTTGATGGGACGACAATGAGTGTTCGCTGGAGTGATTAGCGGAATTGTACTGAAGAGTTAGATTCTATATCCTTGCTTACCAAGCCAAAAATTCGCTTGTAGGATGGGTCTTGCCTGTAACTCTCGGGGAGACGGCCGGGCGGCGAATTATCGACGAGGAGCTCCCCACTCAGCAGATCATACCGTACCTGCCGCTTCTGTCGCGTTCCATCCGGCGCTACCTGATTGACCGCCCATCGGGTCAAATTGCCGTTCCCGAAGCTCCAGGTGTTAGTTATTGCCAGGTTAGGCACACTATTTCTGACTGCCTGATTGAATCCTGAGGCATCCTGCTGAACCAGCTGACGGGTACGTGTCTCCACATGATGGAGGATTCTGGAGGTCCGCACCCACCCGGCAGCCGCCGGCATCTTACACCTCAGCTCTGGTGGAGTGTTCTCAAAGACAACGATGGAGGCGCGGGTTAGATGGAAAAGATCTTCGGAGCTGCGTAGGATGGTCGTCACATGGTCTGACTCCACGGCATATGTGAGCTGACAAATGCCTCCAACTCGAACAAGTAGTTCCTGATGCGCTTCACTCTGCACGCCAAAATGCGAATCCAGCGCATTGATCAGATTCTCAATCCATCGTATCGTGACCCGTCGACCGCGACGTATGAATGCGGCAGCTCGTTCGACCACCGAACCTGCCCTTGACAAATTGAGCGTGCGGAGACCGAGGACGATCAGCGTTTGGAGAGTCTGATGCTCATTCCAGTTGGCTTCAATAGAGTCGAGGCGGTGTTCCAACGTCTCCAAAAGACGCTCGCTGAAAGATACGTCCTCGAAGACGCGGTGGGCTTCTCTCAACTCCGTCCTGTCGCCGGGAGTGCCTAACTCCCATGCCGCCTGGCGGATCAGAATGCCGACTGACTCTTGATTTAGCGAAAGAGCAGGAGACGCGAGCTCACGTAATATGTTGAGCCACTGTACGCGTTCACCCGCTCGTAAGCAGCCGAATGCGATAAATTCATGTAGGCTCAGCGTGGGGTGACAGTGGGCTTGATCCGCGAGTACCTCGTTCTGGGTATGTCGAAAAGAATCCACCGCATATTGGAGATGGGAATAGGATCCTTGAGGAAGCTCCAATGTGCACAATGGCTTGAGTGTTGAAGATTTGGCCTGGTCGGTAACCCAGCTATTGCAGTCACTGGCACTGTCTAGGAGCTTGAATTGGAGCGGATTTGGGAGGTTGATCTTCTCAAAGTCCACCGGAAAGGGCTGAGGATTGTAATGGGTCCGTCGCCATGACTTCGTCTTGGAACCTAGAGTGAGGCGCTGGCCCCACTGCACGGCAAAATCGTGGGTTTCGCCATAGTTCAGCAGATTCTGCTCCATGTCCTGGGCCCTTTTAACCTCCCGTCGCCCAAAGTCCTGAAGGATTTTCCAGGTGAGATCGCGCCATGCCACGAACCAATGAGGGCAGGCTAGTTCAAAAAGAACAGTCTTAATTGTGCTTTCATTCTCCGGAAGAGGCCACTCATAGATATCGATGAGGATGCTTGATGCCTGGTTTATGAACGAGCATTTCCTACACGTAGACACGCAGTTGTAGCGTCCTCGCGAGTTCAGCTCCATCTCATGTTCGAGCTGTCCAGCTTGGTATTGTAGCATATGGTATCGACTTGATTTTGATTCCCATTCGCGTCTTTTCTCGTGCACTTTGCCCTCGGCGTATTGCTCAATATCCTGTCGCAATTGCGCAAGTCTTCCCGAGGATTCGTAATATGAGACCGCAAAGTTCTCGGATTCAGGGTTGCGGAATATGGACCCACGGTTCTGGTCCCGATGCCGAGCTCGGATATAATTCTCAATTTTTTGGGCTCTGCGCATCTGACCACGCTGGGGTAACAGCAATGGCTCGAGAAATTCGGCCGGGATTTCAGGTGAATAATCCTTCAAAAGCGGGCACAACACGGTGCACATGCGGTCGATGGTGACCCACAATTCTAACTGGGTCAGTCGCATAGTTGACACTGCCACAGGGTTACCCGCAAACAGTTGAGACCCATATCTGTCATACTGGCCGAATCGATCCGCTAACACAGATATGAGGTCCTCTGATAGAGGCACCGACTCAGCCCAGCCACCCATATCATATTCAACCCATCGGTCAAAGTCCAGAATAGACAAGAGGTCATCTTGTCTTGGGATGGGAAGGCCCCGACTATCACGGGAGTCTCGAATCTGACCGTGGCCATCAAATTGTGAAGTCACTTCTTCTGCAAGGCCTGAGGATAATGCTGCTGCAAGATAGGTAGATGATTGAGGGAGAGTCAACTGCAGGTCTTGTTGGGTACATACGATATTGTGCGGGATAGCGACTGAATCATTTCTTCGGATTGTCATCTGAACTTTCGCCAATCTGGTCTTAAGGGCTATGTCCGCCGAGAGTACATGCTGCGCCACAAAATCATAGACGCCACTATCGAGCTTGGTGATTCGACGGGCCATTTTAGCGCGAATGATCTGTAGCTGATCAGCAGAGAGGGCTGCTGGCATGTGATTGGCTTTTATCGCGATTTCGGCAATGAGGTAGAGCATGAAATTCTTATATTGAGTCTGCCCCTTGATATCTGTGAAAGTGCGTCGAAGGACAGTTTGCAGTGCCACACGCATCACAAACCAAAGAGGAGACCGCCTCCAAGGATGTTTACTGGACCTCCAGTTGACTTCATCCTGCATGTGCTTCTCGAAGCATGGCCAGCTGTTATGATTACCGTGTGCCAGAAGCTGGATCATTATGTTTTCAGTAACCATTCCAGGATGGACAGTATCGCGCAGCTCCAGAGCCTGAACTCCGGCTTTCCTGGTAGTAGGAACCATCTTGTTCACAGTCTCAATGAAGAGGCGACTAATCTGTCCTGCTAACCAAGAGCAAAAGTCCGGTTTTTCAGTCATGGCTGCTGGAATTTCCACGCTCTGACCAGGGAATTGACGGAGCAGACTCCCAGGCGCGCGTAGCACATCTGCCGCTCGGGGAGACGCTTCAAACGCATCAAAAATCAATCTGTCACGATCCCGGTCAAAGTAGGCTAGAAAGCCACAATTCTGAGCGCGGATATAGAGCGCTACAGCCCCTGAAATGATGTCAGTCAAATCCTGTACACGATGGGTGACAAATATACCATGTTTTCGTAGATCAGACAAGATACAGGTCAAGGTGTCTTCACACACAGTCTCATGCTTATCAATCTCCTTCCAATGCTCTAGCATGTTGATAACAGTGTTCCAGGGTCCTGTAAATTCTGGCGGACAAGCTTGAACGAATCCTTCTAGGGCTTCAAGAGCCACCTGATACAAGCTTTGCTCCATGGGGCCCTCCAGATCGTTGACCTCTGTATCATTGTGTTGAGGTAGCATTGACGGATGAACGACATGATTGAAGATAAACTTCAACTCGCGCGCGAACATTTTGATAAAACTAACAGGAGGTGAAATATGAACAATAATAATTATTTCTATAGCTTTTTCCAATATGTGTTCTGTCTGTTGCTGCTCTTAGGGCTTTTTTTCGGTATCAGCTATGGCGAGTTAATTTTAAAAGATGATCTTAAATCGTAAGTGATTGATGTGACTAGCATTACCTTCTGCAGATTATAATCGTGCTTTCCATCGTCAGTATCATAAAGAACTATTCTTATGCCATTGTCAATGCACAAACTTCAACTACTGAACCGTCCAAGGCAGTATAAGGTGAGTTCTACCATTGCAAGCTCAGCATTATTTAGACCGGTCTAGACCGATAACGTATGAAGTAACATTTTGTTCAATTCTCGCAACGATTTGTCTCCACAAATGACGACCAGACACAGAATATACGCAGAGAATAACATGCGTGACTCAACCTTTAAATTGCTTCCATTCTTGTCATCTTAAGGCGTACCGATTTGTTGCGCGTACGGTACATAAACAGAAGACAATATATCACGAAGTGTTGTGGCAAGGATCTTCCTCAAGGCAGGATCTGATTCATGCCAGATCCTACTGGGATGAAAGCCAGCCACCATGCGAACCTGGTGATGAACAATCTGCTCGACTCGGGATTTTCTGCCCATTGCCTCATCCATAGAGGAGCATAGGCGTTGAGCAACCGGATGATTCACGTTCCCAAGAAAAGGATGTTTTCCCACCGCGGATTGGTTGGTAGCACACTGCAAGACGATGACTGTGGCGGGTTGCAGTACCTCTAGGTATTGAGTTGTTAAGTCGTACGCGTCATATATCGCTTGCAAAACTTCTTTTGAGTGTCCACTTTGAGCTCTAGTCTGCGCCCATTGGTCGCTGATCATTGGACATAAGTCCAAGATGGGAACGTCATCGATGTTCAGGCCAATGTCTTCGAGGATGTCTCGAATGATCTTCAAAGCAGAATTTTGCGTGAACATGTCATAGAAATCTTTGGTGTGGTTGTTGCATGGATTCTGCAGTATAATCACAGGCATGTGGCAATATCCAGCTGCTAATCGAATGTGATTCTTATAACAGTTGGTATTCAAGGAGTAACGTCTCTGAAACTCTCTGGCTTTTGCAAACAACAATTCATCGGTGCCGAGCCGAAACCATTGCCTCATGATCGTTTGCGGGTTGCCGTTAGCTGAGATATTACGCGTAGCGCTGTAACGATCCATGCTGTTGGATTCTTTATAATGAAAGGACTATAGAAATCTTCACATGAGTGAGAAAATCGTAGACCTCAAATATTGTTCTCCAACAGTGAGCGTATTGCTTCGGATGGGAATAACGATGTATTTCGTTGCATTGATCTATTCAAGAGAAGAGGAAACTCGCATTTCTTAAGAAATGTTTCAGTGCCGTGGATTACAGTGCCTAGGCTCGCTGAGGGATATCTTCGTGTTTGTCGTTGTGGTGAGCTCTTATCCGAACAAGCGTCCAGCTTCTCAATAGGCCCACCGTAAACTCATCTTGCTGCCAACATTAACATCCAGTGAGCTTGTTGTCGGGTGACCGGAGCTCATTCGAGTTACCGACTGCGACCCTGCTGATAAGGCTTGTTGCAACCCCGAAGACTGGGCTAGACCTCGGTTACATCATTCATTGACCATGAAGTGGCCAAACCGGCACAATAAAAACCGGCGTAATAACACCTTGTGAACTCATAGAAACTGTCCCAATCTGGAGCCGAACATTCCTTTCTTATGTACGGTAATATCTTTTCACATATTGAACAACTGCTTGACGAGTACCATCAATTCTTGTAACCCTGTAACTACAAGACGACAATGCGTTTGGGGAGATTTTCTTTCTCTTTCCGATCGCTACACTGAACCGGAGGATGCCGCGACCTGAAGAAAGTATAATGTACAATGCAACACAAACAGAAGATCTAGATCATGCGTGACCGGTCCATGAATGGACATTAGTACATTTCTACGAGAAGCCAAATTTCGCCTTCATTTTGCCAGATTATGCTGATGCTACTGTTAAATTGAATCTGCTGCATGGTTCAACATTGAGTTCGAGGCCAAGAACCAATAAAAACCCATTAAATCTTATGTTTTACTTAAAACTTCGTATGCTCAAAGTTGTAGGTGGGTAGAAAGTCACATTATTCATTGATTGAGTATCTTAAGTACAAACAATCTGTCACCGTATTCACTTCTATAATGATGCTTCGCGGCTCTTTCATAAATGACTGATCCACATCCTGGACTAACTGAACATCAGCCGCAGGTTGTTGTTTTGTCTCAGAGTGTATAAATCCTGGAAGATCGACAATGATCAAGTGCGGTCTGTCGAGCCCTGACACCTCGACCCGTAGAAGATCATTTGAAAATACTTTCCCATTTGTGGATATGCCCATTGCAGCTCTAGCACTATCGATCAGTCGAGGAAGCCCATCGAATCCATCAAGCTGTTCACAAAAGCTCCCCGATGACTGTTGTTCTGCCTCGCTGCGCGATTGGTGAGGTACGATAGACAATCTAACTCCAACACTAGAATTTTTGCGGAGCACAAGCTCTGTCGGAAATCCGGTACAGATGTTGCCTTTAATAGGAAAAGAAACTCCAGAAATTGCTTCGAGTACAGAGCTCTTTCCAGATGACTGGTCACCGCTAAACAATGATTTGCGGCAGAGACACATCATGGCTAATGCCCTGGGATCGAAGAGTGTCAATAGAGTTTAAAGAGTTCCAAATGTTCATCAGTGCAAAGGCTATCCAAAGCTTTTGATAGGAGTTCTCTGAGAACCATGTTGCAAGAAAGCAAAGGGCCCGGATAGACCCTTCGTAAGATGAGGATACTAGAAAACAAGACTGAGACTGTTAAGTAACAAGGCCATACATAGTATCCCCATAGTCAAATATAGCCTGCGCCGACCAGGTATAAATTTTTTAAATTATGCATACAAATTCTAAGTATTAATGTAATGCCGTGCTTCTTGTCTTTGTCTAGATTTTTTGTTCTAGACGAGCCTATTTGAAGTTGCGCCGAGGAGTCAAGGATCATGGCATGCGCGAGGGCTTTCTGCTGTCGACCAATGAAAGGTCCCACCCGGACCGACAGAGAACCAAAATTACAAAGTTGATCATTGATGTTAGCAGTGTTCTCTCCCACAAGTCGTTTCTGTCTGTAGGGCGAAGATGAAATAATTATCTAGACTCATACTGGGATAGTATGGCTGTACTATGAACTCCAAGCAGTACGAGCGGTATATCGGTGCTCATATATAATTTAAACGGCTCGAGTTCCACGCAGAGCCAGAGCATTCTTCGTTGAGCATTTTACAGTCCCTATCTTTTGACATTGCACCAACGTAAAGAATCTATAACTCATAGCAGCATCAATATTCCTCTACATTTTCCTACGAGGTTGTCGTGGGTCTGGGTGAACAATTAATGAGTAGGTCACGGCCTCATTAGTCTTATCTACCCATCCATTATTGTCTCGCCGACTAAATAGTTCGTAGTGTAAGGTGAGCCTCGAGTGAATCTCTGGAGTAATGTCCGAAGATATATATGACTCTTTGGAAGTAAGCCATAGAGTTTTCGAATGTAGATTAATGGTGCACTAGTGTCTTGTGAATTTGACGGGGGTGCTCGTCTATCTTGCGGTCTCACATTCTTATTCCTATTGTGTTATGGTTTCCCATCGGATAAAACCACATCTGTGGGATACCAATTGCTGAAAGGAGTGTTTCTTGTCGCTTACTGCTCCCTTTGCCAGGCGTCTGCCGTCTCGTTCCCCGGTTCGTGACCCCGTCGAAAGTGGAAGGAATCCCGTGAGTTCTAACCTCGCTTGCCTTTTGATCAATAGCCAAATTATCCGCTGCAATTAGCAATTTCGCGCGTTCATAACTGCTTGAAGGACCGATAAGCTGTTGCTTAAAGCTGCTCTACTGGCTTACCAGACAGAACCCACAGCACTCGTACGCTTCAGTAAGATGCAAGAAATTACGCCACAATATCGAATCTTCACGTGATGATATTGACATGTGACCTCCAGAGTTGCTATGTCTCCCTTGAATCACGCCTATCATTTAACGAGGTTGACTACTGCAGATGAGACCCGCATCAGCCTTACCCCTGCCAGCTGACATAGGCTTACTCAACAATATGGGGAGAAACCGAGTTGGAAATCAGCATAAGCAATCTCCACACGCTCAGTCGTCAAATGAGCCAAGACGTGTTGCAAAGGCAAAGCGCAAGAGCCGGCGCAACCGCCAGAGATGACGGCGCAATCGACGAGCAAAGCGACAGCTGTTAGGAAGTCGCGCAGATAACGACATGCGTGAGACAAAATCCTTGTGTTTCGAGCTCGAGTTGAACAACGAACAAGGTACTTTAATCGGCCTTATCTTGAATGGTCAGAATATTTTTTATACCGGAGCTGCGGGATGCGGTAAAAGTACAGTTCTCAAAGCATTTGTCCGAAAACTTCAAGGAAACAAGAAAAGAGTAGAAGTTATTGCTCCTACTGGAAGAGCAGCGTTGGAAGTTAACGGATGTACATTTTGGACCTATGCTGGCTGGACACCGAACCATATGAAGCGGCCACTGGCAAAAATCAAACACAATGCCCGAATGAGAATACGACTCTCGGACACTGATGTCTTAGTCCTTGATGAGGTCAGCATGGTCGAGAATCACCATTTCGAGCGTCTGAATGTTATTATGAAGGAAGCAAGACAGTCAGACAAACCATTCGGTGGAGTTCAACTTATTGTTACTGGTGACTTTTGCCAGCTGCCACCAGTCAAACCTTTCAAGTACTGTCTACAATGCGGTCAAGAGATGATCAAGGAGATGAATGATTTCATTCACAGGTGCCTTGAACATGGGGACCATTTGGATGAGGACAAATGGGCCTTTCGGAGCGAAGCCTGGAATCATTGCAACTTTTCCCACGTTTACTTGAGAACGATCTACAGGCAGAAAGAAAAAGTCTTCACAGATTTGCTAGAGAAGTTCCGACTGGGTAGGGATCTTAATGAGGAGGATATACATGTGCTGCTCAACCACAACACAAATGTCGAATCTGCCGTAAGGCTTTTCCCGACGCGAGAAGAGGTACGCCGAGTTAACCGGACTGAATTCAATCGGCTACCGACGGAAAAAAGGATATTTAATGCCTGCGATTCTTTCGAACCTAGTTTGAAGTGCGATGTTCTGACGTTCGAGAAATACAATCAGCGGGAACCCGATGGGTCTTTGCAGGAATTGCGGGATCACAGATTTGAGTCCTTCACCGAGATCAAGGAAGGTATGCAGGTGATCCTTCTGGTCAACCTCGATATCGGTGCTGGTCTCGTCAATGGGAGTCAAGGAAAAGTTGTGGGTTGGGAGAGTTTTGAGTCCTATAACTCACGTCATCTTACAAGCGACCGCTCCAACGACATGAAGCAAGATTGCCATGCCGAGCAGGACGTGGTGATTGCCTTTCAAGTTACCGAGCATAGAATGCACCAAGAGCAAAATATCCGAGCTTTCATGCAGAAGGCTACTAGAAAGGAATGGCCGATTGTTCTTTTTGAAAATGGTCTTAAGCGGACTATCATCGCTTTCTGTTATGTCAATGAGATTGGCAATGAGGAGCCCAGGAGCTTGCTTTCGCGGACCCAGATCCCTTTGCTAGCGGCCTGGGCGATCTCAATCCACAAGAGCCAGGGAATGACATTGAATAAGGTGATCGTTGACCTCAGCAAGAGCTTTGAGGAGGGCCAGATGTATGTTGCTCTTTCGAGAGCCAGCTCATTAGCGGGTTTGAAAGTGACTAATCTTGGTAACTGGCGGCCAAGAGGGAATGAATAAGTCAAGCGGTTTTTGTGCGAGAAATTTGGTATTCGATGAAAATATCACCGTCAACTCTTTGGATTAATTGCTGCATTCATGTAAATGAATAATACCCCGTGCTCATACAGCTGATGATATTATTTTCATATGCTAGTCCTTCGCCTTAGGCGATGAGCAGGATACCACAATACATGTTTTGCCAATACGTCTCTTTATCGTAGACTATACTTTCCTGATGTCAGGAACGATTGATAAACGGCCCGTGGCCCGAATCTTCTGAGTTGAACATGGCCTGGATGGCTTATGACACATATTGTGATAGACGTATCAATCCGCACCATGACAGCTCATCATGGACCTGTTCTGCCTCCCGAGAAAACAAAATCTGCAAGAGAAAAGCCGACAAGTCCTTTTGATATTATAGAGAGTGAAAGAGAATTTTCAAGAAGTCCAAATGCCTTATAGATTGACGCCAGACTTTCTGGGCTTGATTTTGCATCGGGGTTGTGCCGGGTACACCGTACATCATTGATTGGCTTTGTGCAAATTTGCCCATGGGCGACGGTTGCTATAACTTATAATCAAGGAGTCGGTGAAAGTGATTTCCCAAGAAGGTCTCATCCGACCGCCCACCAACACAATTGGGAGAACGGTCGATCACTGTATTGAGTGATGAAGCTCGCTAGCACCTTTTAACCTTGAATTTGAGGAACACAGGTATCTTGCTACTGTCGTAGCAATTGCCACTATCAGTGAATCTCGCACCCTGAGACCATCAGTGGAGATAATAGACGCAGCTCTACCATCTGACTTGTGGTTCTTTACATTTCCTACGTAATATCTACTTCAAGGCATTAGCACGAATTCGAATTCACTCTGTAATGGGCTCTTCATTGGTATTGCTCATTGTTCTGTTGAAGAGGATAGAGCTTCAATCCTTTAACCTTTCCCAGGAACCCGTTGACCTTTCGACCTAAAAAGTCCACTTCCAATTCAAGAGGGCATGCTTTGCCAGCGCCACAGCCGTGTCTCAAGTTAGTCTTCACACGGGAGATACGCATGGCAATGGTCTCCGCAGAACAGATTCGGAACGGCTGCACAGAAGGCCAGAGCTCAAGCTTCCTCAAAGCTGAGAAATACTCCGCTACGCGGTAGTCACCGGTGCAATGCTTAACGGAGAGCTGATCGTTACGGCAAGAATGACACTTTCTCGCTCCAATGGGATGAGTCTTTCCACAGCACGCACATACCAATCCGTCCATCTCATAGCCCCGTTGGTTGTTCCTCAGAGCTTCTTCAATGGACTGCAGCTCGTAAGTCATTTTCTGTAGCAGCTCCTCGATGCGATCCGATAAATCGTCTGTATATGCGATTAGATTATTGGCTTTGAATTGTCCAAAATATAGAAAGGGTCGTACTCCAAGCAGCGGCAGGTAATAGCTTCAGAAGGTCATTCTCTTGCCATTGAGTGCCGAATTCAAGTGAGAGCTGAGTTTGAGCATTTGCGGACAGGCGGCAAAATTGATCTTCATCGCGGAAAAAGTGTGCAGCAAGAAGAAGAAGACCGTTCTCCTCAGCCGTTCTAATGGTTTGACAGTCATGGAACCACTTGAAGACCCATGGTCTAAGGGCCCTATTGCAGTCATACTTGTCGCAGAGGACAGCCAAACGAGCAAGCATCTCCGCATTCATCTGATTCTCTTCTTCCTGATAATGGAGAACCTTAAGCATAGTCTCCATGCATTCTGAATCGTCATCGTGAAGTGTAATTATGGGGCAATGAGACTCTGTCATCTGCATTCCCTCGCGAAATTTTGGGCTCAGTAATTTCCTGAATACTGGCGATGCGAGGCGAAGGACCTTGGAGGATACGAGGAACTGTCGTATGTCCCTACCTTCAATGGCTAAAATAAGATCCCCCTCTGAATCAAATGACTCAAGGTTCGGCTGCTTGTGAGGCGTTGAATCGTCAAATTCTTCGACTGACATTCTGCAATCCTTAGATAGTCTGCTACTTGCACATCGAGGTATAAACGCAAAGTGCTTGTATCCTTGATAATACTTAGATACATGGTGGGTGATATATGTTGCCGTAACTTATGCTTGTCATGCTTACGTCACAGGCAAGAATGACCCCGCATCACTGTCGATACGAAGGGCGGGCGCAGAAGGTAGCGATGATCCAAGCACAAGCTCTTTCATCGTCCACCAGGTTCTCACACGTGAAAATTCTTTATGGTTAAGGTAGACCCAAGATCGTTGCTTATCATTTTTGGTGTTTCTTGAGTTTTCGTATAATTCTCGAGTCGAAACGTGGAGTCGAGCAACGAAACTCCAACCCGATCTTCTCTTTTTTTGCAAATCTCGCTATCGAAATCCTGCTAAGCTTATCCAATGCCATTTTTCTTGAGCCTAGAAAGCCGAATGTAGAAATCAAACGAGAACTGGTGTAACCACGAGACAGTACATACAACACAATGACCGCCAACTCACAGAGGAGCGGTGCGGCAGTGGATTCAGAATGAATTTTCTTTACTATTTTGAGCCCGAAAGTGATGATTATTAACTGCTGTCCTACTCTCAGATTCAGGATGACAAGTTCATGATTACAAACCTATCGGCCACTTTGTGGCACGCCAGCACAGAGATGTTTACGATGCGAGACCCTTCCCCGCCCGTACTACTTCCAGAGGTGCTAGCTAGCGCTGGTACTTTACATGCTTGGGCGAGCAAAACATATCTGAGAGCTCTGAAGGGAAATGGAAGTACAATATGTGTCTCGTCTTTAGGTCAATGTCCGTGTCACATGAGTATCGAGACGCCTTCAAAGTCTGGTGCGACAGAGCTGACTTCGGATCGCAGCGTGGCTCTTAGGTAGATGTACCAATGACTGTGTGGGGACACCAGCCCAAAGCTGGAATGATAACAGTGTACGTCCGTATCCTTTGTCTTGAAACAATACCTGACTGGTCTGTATTTGTACTGTATGTAGGTATCAAGCCACATCATGGCGCAACATCGACACCACGTTACCAAAGCATTCCCCCTGATCAACACAAAGGACGTTTGTCGCTCGGTCTTGGTATGTGGTCGCAATGGAGAGCCCCGCTTGGAATCTCGCTTTCTATTGGCTGTCCGCCAAGCGATAAAGAAATTAGTACATGCAAATTTGATCCCCTGAAAGTCTAGAGCTTGCGAGTGCCCAAAAAGGGGCTTTCTGAGCTGATACATCGAGCACACCTCTAGAACCATTAAGAATCTTGCATATAGTATTCTACATATCTTCGCTGTGCTTCAGTGTTTGCTTGGATGTTACGAGCATCTGCCAGTGACCAACAGTATCGACAAGATAGTGTATGACGAAACGAAATTATTCGGCCACCTGCATAATTCGCTCACCACCAACGGGTATTCCGGGCACTTGTAAGCTAAGTATCGCTCGAACGTGCACCGAAACAATTCCAAGTCATCCGAGTCCGCTTGCTATCAAAGCTCATATTGACAACGGACATCAAACTATTCGCGCTATCTGCCGGGAACTGGTTTGATGTTTGATTCACAGCACTACGCATAACAAACCTTCGATCCCTAAGAGAAGGTACGAATTAAAAGGGGTAGATACAGTGCTATCACGTACGGATCCTTCCGGGCAAAGTGGTCCTTGCAGGCTTATATGCAAATACAATAAAAGAAAAGTGTCTCAGGTATTGAATGTCAGTCCTCAAATAGATATTTCTCCTACTTATGAAGAATAGAAGACCAAATGTGACGATGCTCGACCAGGTCTGAAATTGCCCACCCAAATTCTGTGAAACTCAACAAGGATCATGCATTTCTTTGTTTGCTACGACAAACATGGTGACAAGCACACCTCCGAAAAATACTCCTCGTCAAAATAAGCTTTGGAAATATAAGAGGTCATCTCGCATCTATCTTGATTGAAAGGAGATGATTATTCACCTTTGTTCGTTGACAATTCGCTGTATCGCGGGCACACAAGTCGCTTCTACCAGGTGGTGAGTATCGATATTCCCTTTCCAATAGTGCTCTAGATATTAACACGACGCACGAGTTATCAAGAAAATGGCTAAGACCACAGCATTCCGGCCTTTACTCCCTGCTGCTACACCGCCATCTCGAATCCTGAGTGCAAAGGGTTCTGGTCCCACACAGACTCGTCGGTCATCAGCTTGTTTAAAGTGTCGTAAGAAACGTGTTAAGGTAAGATATCTCAGCTTCAGTCGATCCAACGCTACTAACCACCTATTCTATCTAGTGCGTCGGCTCATCACCCTGTCAAGCCTGCGCTGGGTCCGGATCAGCCTGCATCTTTGAACCGTTCAAAGATAGACGTAGGAAAGCAGCTCTCATCAATGCAGAGCAGTCTAATAAGAGATACCAGGAACTATTGAAGCAGCTGATTGGCACTTTGATGTTTGGTGACGATGAACAAATCTCTGCGTTGAAGGAATTTGTTAGATACCATGCTTCTGTGGAGAGTTGCTTAGACCTCCTGGGTTCGGAGGACCAGCCAAGCTCATCCCCCTCAGAAACAAGGTAGTGGAGAAGATTGGGGCTCATGTTCATCAAAGGCTTCATAAATAGCTAACACGTTCAATAATGATTTCATGCTACAAGCGGAACCAAGACGAAACCTAACTCGGGTGAGATAACTGCGAGTTTGTGCTCAATCATCTCTAGAATATAGGACAATCATTGCAGGACATCTTGTGAATACTGCGGGTTGAAATCCTTGACAGTTATTCTCGGCAGCAATTCGTAACGTCACCATATATCCCTCTTTCAGTCGCCAGTTAAACAGTTGTGCTTATCGGTCGGGTCAGTCATGCAACCCGTCCTTTCGATAATAGCTTGGTCATAAACGTCGAACGCGTGAGCATTATTGAAATATTGCCCCGTCGCCTCCTAATGAGACGGAATCGTGGGCTTCTGGGTTCAGTCTATCGGCGCTTCGTTTTTGAAGCTGCTCAGAGTGCGCATGCAATGTGACCAACCCTACAGATGACGCTAAACCTATTAAGTTTTCCAGGCTTGAGAAAGGACGCTTTAGGCTTTAGGGGTGAGATTGTCTGATTGCCTAGAAATTGCCTCTAGAATTTGACATTAATCGAAATTCGTATGTGGCTGGATCCGGCTGCCTTGACCACGCACGTGATATGACAAAACCAGTCATTCTTAACTTGCTTCTTCCGCCTCAATTTACTAAAAGCAGACCTAAATACCAGAAACAATTGACTGCTCGGTTATTTGCAATTTTGTTCTGATAAATACTGTAATCATTCAGTAGAAGATCACCGACTGATTGAGAGAAACAGGCACGGCGAGCTGGCTCATGGCTCGCTTCACAACATAAGCTACTCGGTCGGCAAGAGACCACAGATGCAAGGGTGGAGCGAAAGAAACCGTGACCCATGTGTTGGTTGATTGGTTGTCTAACACTACGACAATGCCGTGAGGAAATGTGGAGGAAAATCGGGGCCACTTTTGATTACATATCTCTCATCTTGGGAGCGGGCCAAGAAGATAAGGAAGGTAAAACAACCAGCCTTCTCAGGGCACAATTCTTGTTGTTGCGGTTATAGACTTGAGGAATCTCGGGAATTTCGAAGCCGCGCCCCAAATAGGGCCGCCAGAACACAACTTGAAGGCATTAATTGATGCAGGCCTTAACGAAGTCTTAAGTTTGTCATAAAGCAAAAGTCAATGGCAAATAGATGTATATTGAGGTTTAGATAGTGGTACCCTGGATATCGCCCTAAGCGAAGGCTACAGCAAAACACATACACAAACACGCTGTATAATGTATCCCATCGCAAAATGTGACCAAAGCGAGACTTACGTATCAGACAATCTCATAGCTTGAACAACAAATTTTGAAACATGTCATAGGCAACCATGAGGATTCAGTTGATAATGGCCCATGACCCAGTTACTTATCTACCCTACTGCAAAATAATGGGAACGGCGACATGGGTGCGGAGAGACACGCCATAGACCGCTGTGGTCACGATGAAGATCCTCGTTATCCACCAAGTGTTTCGCATCCGAGCAACCTCAATGGGGAAATCTGAATGTGATTTGAGATTGACTCGTGTACTGGTGACTGTATCGACATAGATGACGCCAGAAGATATCCGTGGCAACCGTTATACATGTCTGCTCTCAGGTTTCTGAGCTGACCGCTTCATTTGCTTGTTCTTGCTCGGGACCGCCAAAGTGCAATCCCAGTCATCATCCCATTCTTGAGAATAGCGGGCCTTCGAAATGGTCTTTTCGCTCTCAAGTCGTACGACCTCGATTGGTGACTTTCCACATGGTCGCTGTTCATCGAAAGTGAATTGAGCCTTCGCGACATGATCTTGTCCAGATGGAACGTCAGGGCGCAAATCTCCATTGTTTTCTTTGGTTGTCCTATATTGTGATTCTGAGAAAATCTTTCCACAACAAGCCTCGGTGGGGCCGTTGCCGCTGCCGGTACTTTCAGGGGGTTTTTGCAATTCTGATGATTTCAGGGTAAGCTCTTTGACAACGATTTTCATCACGGCTTTGCTGAACACCGCATCACCCATAACCTCGTCATAGAATTCATTCTGTTGGAATGTCGCCTCATCTTTCGCAATGGTGATAGATAGTTTAGAACTTAGATAGTCATGAAACCATTGTTCATCCTCAGGAAGCTTAGCGTATATTAATTTAGCTCCTTGGAGGAGCTGGGAAATTGACAGAAAGTCACCAAAAGTCCTGATGTGATTCCGGGCAAGTAGCTCAAGGCCGTGTATTTTGTACTTTCGGGAAGCATAATAGACCTGAAGGCTTCTTCTGTATTCGAGCTCAACGCGAGATGTATCTGATTGCGTTCCTGGATATGCGATTGTTTCATATTCTCCCTTGTACAGGAAATGTAGAATAGTATGGCCAATATCCGCGTCGACATCAGCAAGCAAAATACGGCTCTGAGATTGCCTTGCATCCGAAAGTGAGTGTTTCGGGATATAGGTTTCTGGAAGCAGATACTTCTTATTTCCGACTGTGATGTTGACCATCCTTGATAGTTCGTAAGGACTATGATAAATGCGTTTAGGTTAGCAGACATCTCCACAACTCATTGACACACTGTGCAACTATGAACTGTCTTACCATATAGCTGGTTGGTTATATTCAACCGCTGAGCTCATTGGGTGTACCATTGATGCTTCTTCTTTGTCTGCACTGCTCGGGAGGCCATCTTTGCCTTGTCTCACATTCGACATTGGGACTTGCTTAGATGAAAATTATGATGGCACAGTTTGACAAGGTCATATAAATCAAAGAAAATGGGATCAGAGTAATGAGAAGGGACCGCTTTTCAAACCATTCTTCACGGCCTCAGGAAGGAGGGGAACTGTACGTCTAATGTGTTGAGTTCGCAGCGCGACAAACCCTCTCAGCACAATAAGTAAGCAAGGGGACGAACATATCACTGGATGCATTCCGGAAGGCCACCTTGAATTAAATCATTCCCTATCGATCTGAACTAGTTTGATGCGTTGGACTTGAGCTCCCAGGTGATCCACTTATAGGCTGATAATTGAGAATCGATGTTCTAACCCTGATCAGGATAACGAGTGGATCAGTTTAGCTGCATGGAAGGTTATTAGCTGGGTAGCCGTGTATTTACTTATGTTCCCGAACGATGGTATGGAATCGCACCGTCCTGTTACATAACAGCTCTTATTAAAATGAACTGATACATGCTAGCTTTCTCTTCTGGCGTCTTGGCCTTGGAGTATAACAACTTAGTTCTTCGTTCGAGAGATGCAGGCCAGATTCGAACCGAGTCTACAGTTAGTGGATGGCCTTATCCTCTGCCAAAGTTGGCCGAATACAAGCCGCGGAAGCGATTTCTGGTCCAGTCGTGTGTTCTAATTACTGCATTCCTAATATCTTCGAAAAAGACTGAAGGAGTGCCTAGCCATTCCACCCTTCAGTAGTTCCGAACTATCACACGGTCAGAGTAGTTGAAGTATCCAAAATCCCGTACAAGTCAGTGTAGCATGGTGGGATTAGTCCTCAGTGAATGACAACGTGAAGCGGATACCGCGAGCGGCTCGCAGAAGAAACAACATTTTATCTAAGATTTCCATCCACACGGAATGAAACCAAAGAATGAGACTAAGGTAGTGAGATAGTTTTTACCCTTGAGTATCCTAGATACGTTCTTCTAAATGTGCCACAAATTGTCTTTCCCCCCAGAGACTACTATCCTTGGACTTTCTGCTGTTTCTCATTCTCTATGTAGCCCTTGCAGTTGCAGGGAAGAAAATTCAGAAGTCCTCTGATAAATGCTAGGTTATAAGCAGCTGCTTTCGGCGATTCAGGCGACATGTAGATAACTACTATTTCTACACACTATGTATATCCGTTGATCGTGAATTTATTACGTTTGGACGAATTTGGAGCCTTGTCAGGACTTGTGTGAGTCAATGCCTGGATATATGTTCTGCCACCCTTGTGGCGCGCGACTTTGAGATCTCTGCGATGCCCCCGCAACACGTCCGCCGGAATCCAGTACCCCTGAGGACGCTACTGTGTGGCGTGATATCTTGTTGCCTACCTATCCTACCTTAGCTCATTTCTCCCTGCATATTTGAGAAGCTTTTGAAGGTAATATAGAAGATACTGATACAACAGCAGGCTCTCAGGACTCCTCAAAGCTGCGGGTCCCTTAAGCTTACTCATCTTAATACTTGTCCAGAAGTTCACATTCCAGGTCGACAAGCTCTGATGGTCGGTTTTAAATCGAGTTTTAGAACCAATATGGATACAAGAATTGCCAAGGGAGCTAGAGACATAGGAGCCCGTATAATCGATGAACAGAGACATCGTTAATAACTATAGGTTTGACAAGAATAAGTTGCAACTGAATGCACATCTTCATAAGATTTGTAAGTGATTCAGTCTACGTGCTAATTCACTCTTTGGATCATTCTCCTTTTCCATGGCGATAGGTGGCATGACGTGTGGTGGCGATGGCATAGGCGATCTGTTAACACGGGAAGACGGACATTTGAATTTCCTGTTTTTCAATTGCTCTAGGGTTGCAGTCTGCACGGTTTCTGGATAGTCTCTATCCTGAGGAGGTAGTTTCCCGTGAATAGCTCGCGGTGGCGAAGGTTTTACGTAGTAGCGTTCTGCACTGTCGGTGTCTCCCTCGGCACGATTTGTACTTTCTTTCCGCTCAATCAAAGCACAGCAAAGATCTTGGAGAAAAATACGAGGCAATCTCGCTTGGCGGCTTTCAAAGCGTGCTTGATTTGCGTTCTGTACCCAATTGTCGACTAAGAGTAAACGCAATGGGGATTCAGGCAAGGTATGGGTGTAGACGTAATCAATCTTGTCGCAATCAAAAATTCCACCAGGCTTTTTGTCAAGCTCAGCCCTGCAAAGCTGTATAACATGGTTCTGCAGTCCACAAATCTCGAGTTTTCCTGCAAGGATTCAGAGTTGAAGCAAGAAAAAGATGTCAGTTCGGGAAGACAAGTCATGAGAAGTGTCGCCGTAGTAAATCCAACCCAAAAGCTCAGCGAAGACATCGGGATCATCGTCAGGAAAGCAAACAGAATCGCTTGGAATGGGGTTCTCAGTGCGATCGCTGTAAAGTGAGTCGAAATAGGGAGAACAATCGCACAATAACTCCAGGTGGGCATCGAATGGTATCTCATTGACTCCTACAGTGATGTGTACGATTCCAGCACTTAGAGCACTGACATCGTCGATCAGCTTATAACATTCTGTACAGTTTGAAATTTCGAGCGTTATCGTACAACTTTCCAAGAGATCTGGCCATTTTCAGAAAGTTTTTCTAGTCGATTTCGGAGACTTCCGGAGGCCCCTCAAGTGAAGCAGAGACAAATCTTGTATGACCCTTATCCGTACAGGTCGAGATCGTATTATCTCACTTTTTGTGCATAAGAGCCTCGTTCTGTTATAGATCATGAGAAGAACTTCTGATCTTGGCGATACGGACAGGTGATTTGAGTTCTGTTTGACCACCACACAATAAGCTTCGTTTGTAACAAGACGGTACTTCTTGACCTTAGGGATGATCACAGAGACTTCGTCTTACCTTTAGCAGTGAGGTAGGAGGGATTTATAGAGCATGCGCCAGTATGTCTTGTCGCAAAGCGTGATTCTTGATCCTCCTGGTTCAGATGTACCCAACCATTCCAGGTTGAACGCCGTTCAAGTGAGGAAATGACCCGAGGCTATGATTGACTCGGATGAAGATTCATCCGTCACCTCAAACCAAGAGTGATGACAAAGCTGCCGAGGGAACCACGCAAGCGAGCCGGCCGTTAGATCATTTGTCTATATCACTCAGATTCTGATTTCTACCAGATTGACCGACGGATTAGACACCATGTCTCAAATTGCAAGCCGGCCTAACACTAGGGATGTTGAGACATTAGCGAAGCCATGTCTGTAAAACCTAATAAGTCGTCATGTTCAGTCCGTGTGTCAAAGCTTTGGTTGAGCAGAGATACATTGCTTGAAGGCTCCATAACAATTAGCTCAAACTCGCCGCAAGGAGCAGACCATTCAAGCGAATCTACGGAGCATAAAAATTTGTGTTCAGACTGCCGATGCATCAAACATCCCGGCGGATATGGTTGTGAAGGGGGAAGTCAATGCGTGCCAGACAGCTAATTCGAATGAGAGTAGGATAGAATTTTGTACATGGGTGATTTATACGCTGACCCTCACCTTAGGCTGACACGCAGGGATTCACTATCTCGAATCTCTATGTTCATCCTTTGAACGTAAATAATCACTTTTCCCAACGAGTTGAACCTCAACAAGGCCTGTGTTGGCCAGCCTAAAGCTCCGCAATCGTTCCGCGAAATTCAGTACTGCCCTGAGGAGGTACTGTCTCGCAAAATACCTTGTAGCCTACCTTCCCTATGTTGACCTCTCTCTCCCAGCGTAACCGCTATACACAGTAATATGGTGGTAAAGTCTTACGTTTTCCGCCGAAGTGTTTGACGTGGCCTGTTCCCGTTAAGCCACGGGCAGTCTATTAAAATGAATAACTGCTTTAGTGGCACCACATTTGACCGCACGTCTTCTTGAGAACCGTGTCGCTTGCCATGCGTCGCCAGTCACGAGAGGCCAGTTCGGAATTGAGTGGGCTGGGGCTCGATCCGAGGAGAGCAAACCGTACAGCCGGCGGTGTTTTTGAAAGTATAGTTCGGTCAATGTGGCTGAGGCGCCCCCCTTTTGCCGAGGTCACCATTTTTGTTCCCCATTCTTTGGTCTTCATCCTTCACACGATGATACGAGATGTTTGAAAGGTGCTTCTTCCCCCCACTTACTGCTTTTTTTGCTTGGCGCTCTGTCGCCTCATTGCGGGATTGCGGTACTTCCCCGGCACCTATTGCAGTCGCTGGACCTAGCCATGGCGTCAATTCCCCGGCCGATTGCGGTATGACCTGAATAAAGGATTGACCTGATTTATTCCACATGTTTGCGATTGATTGCAGCGCGGACATGCTGTTATCAAGGATTTTTGTTGGCTCTTGATTCGTTGCCGCAACCTTGGTTCTTCCGCGCGAGCCGGACGGTATGCGCACGGCGGCATAGACCGACTAGGACTCCATCGAACGATGCTGAGGTGTGGCGACCTTATAACCAGGATACATAGTTACACAGTCAAGGCCAGGCTCTAACGAGTCCTCGTAACTAATGTGTAGCAGCTTCGACTCGCCCGGTGGGACGCGTGTTCGGTAATGACTGCCAATGTAGTTCCTCCGTAGAGGACTAATGCTTCGTTGGAATGGATTCAAGGTTGACCTTATATTGCTTTGAGGCGGGATTCATCCATGCCACATCCTTGGCCTCTTCACAAATCAAGATTCCATTGGCGCTCGTTCGCGAAGCCGGCAAAGTTTGCCCGTCCACCATTTCCATACCTCATACAAGAGTGGTTCGGCTTTTCCATGCTGGCTGATCGTGATTGTCTCGTCCCTTTATTCTGGGTTGACGTTTTCCGTATTGGTATCGATATTGCAAAATCGCTAGGCTTTCAGATCAGAATCCCGGTGGGCAATTGTGTCTTACTTCCGATGCTATTCACATCATTGTACCTTCACTATTATGGGCATTTTGACGTTGAAACGAATATCAAGTTGCAAAAAGCGCCAAGCAATAGAGGATGCTCAGACTACGCGAGTGGGGTGTCTCACTGAACAAGGACTTGTTAGCAAGCGGGTACATACGAATTGTAATCTCCGCAACGAACACCGTCGTCTTTACACTTGCATGCTGTCAGTTGACACGCATCCGCTTGGTTCTAAGCTCGCCAGTGCCATAATACATCCTCTTCACGTGTCCCGCTCTGCTTGGGGTGAGGTGTCTTCGTAGCGGCCGATGTTTCAAGTGACAACGATGAAAATCAATGATCAAGGCTCGTTGCAGTTCATCACTCCACAGAATATTCTCAGGGCGAAGGTCATCATGCACCACACCTAAGGAGGAAACTTCCTGCTTCGACAGCGAGATTGCATGCTCCATGGTGGCTTCGATCTGGATATGGCAGAGGTTTTTCCCCCCCCCCCCCAACCCATCAGTAGCATATGGCGAATCTCACCCGCGCCGTGGCGGAAATATATCTTGGCCAAATCAATGGGACGCAGAAACACCGGCACCGCAGAGCCTTGAATACTTTGTAGGATGCGATAAATTTCTGCTTCCTGTGATACCTCGTGCCATAGTCGCGAAGTAGTGCCCTTTCCCACCATCGTGTAGCCGTATGTCGCAGAGGTCACTTTGAACGGTGCGCCATATGATCCACATTGCCCAAACGGAGTACAGTATACGTCCATATTCTCGTCCAATTGTCGCTTGACCAAGTATACTAATTCGGCGGCCCGGATTAAATGACGGTTGATCTTTTGTCCAACCCGATGAAGGTCCACATTGGGACATTTTGGGTCCAAGATATCGCCGCGCTGTAAACCTAACAGACATTTTTGCGTACAGAACTCATGATTGTGTGCACGAGATTGACCAGCATGGCGATGGGAGGGATCTTTTGGGGTGGTCGGCGTAAAAAGCGGTGCGGGTGGCGAGGACGCGATTTGACTAAAACGCCGCTTTCCTTTTGCAGAAGTAGCTGGATCATCGTCGGAATCTGAAGGATTTTCCTGATGAGCGGTATTGGCAGGTGCACAGCGAGTGGAACGGGTGGGTGGGCGGCGTCCCTGGGCGAGAGGCGATTCGAATGGGGACGATGGCTGGTACTCAGACGAGGTCATATGCGAACTGGTACATTCCGGGCTGATGTAGTCGGATCCTGGAGGCTTCTGCCGCAACTCCCGTGGTGGAATTTGGGATCGTGCATGGCTGAAACTGGTCTCCCAGATTGGTAGCTGCGCCCGCGCAGCGTTCCGCCAGGCTTGGTCTCGACAGGCCGAACGGAAGCTCATGAGGCAGAGACAAAGCACCCTCTCGATGGCTGTCCGAGGACCTTCAACACCATTGTCGACGTCGAGATTTGGCTCGCACAAGTAGTAGTACAGAGTCGAGCAGTCGTCGGGAACCCGCAGGAGCACAATCCCAAGCCCAGTGGTCAAATAAGAGTACTCCAGGCCTTCCTGAATCATCACATGGTATTCCTGGACGATCGCCGAGCCTGCAAGACGAGCAGCATTATACTTTAGCTTGTCGGGCCCATCTGTAGGAACGGTTTCTGGTTCGACAATCTCTTGGTAGAAATCCAGCGGTCGAAGCCCAGCCCGAAGATTCTCATTAGAAAGTTTATGCGGCGGTTTGTACTCGACTGTAGTCAACAAAGCTTTCGTGTTGCCATCGATGCGGTGGATACAAAATTGATCGGGCGCGCGGGTTGTTCATTGGGGTGTACCTCATCTGGCGGATTTTCATCGAGGGCATTGGCGTGGTTATCGAACCAAACCCCATTTCCGAGCTGAAACTCCTCTCGAGCTCCTGGGATCTGACAAAGTGCAGCGATAATATCATGGATGTGATCTTCAACGGCAAAACGCTCGTAGCTCTCAAGGTCCTTTTCGCTGCTCAAAGGCCGATGTGCGAAACGGTGTCCCAGCCCTTCCAGCTCAATTACCGGTGCGAATAGGCGTGGTGCATCTTCGCCTAATGGTCTTAAGTAATGACATACCGAGTCGTAAATTTCTCGTTGCCTGATAGCACAATCTGCCCAGTGTTCCAGTCGTAGTGGGCAGTACTTGCCAGTAGGAGGTGGAATCTTGCCAGTGGTAGACTGAGCTGGATTTCCAACTTTCAAGGATTTTGAAAGAAGATTGTGACAGTGTTGAGTAAACTCTCCGAAGGTAGTGTGACGATTTCGCTCCTGCTGTTGTTTCTCTCTGTGTTCTGCCTGCTCTCTCAGCAATTTCTCCTGCCTCCTTCCCACCTCAGCTTTCTGTCCTTTTTTCTTCTGCCTTCAAAAACAAAGCCTTGTAGTCAACCAGCTCCGACATGGTCCTATTGGGTCAATTGAGGAGGGTGTCATTATGTTGACGAGCGAGTGGAAGCCAAGGAACGACAACAGATGTCGTACCTCTACCGTCGAGCAGACCAGGAGGACGGTAATACGGATAAAGTATTTATCCGAACCTCTCGCACTATGCTCCTTGTAGAACTAGTTCGCATGTGCATTCGAAAACAAGGCAAAGGCATTGGGAGTCGGGATATACATCAAGAGCAGCCACCTTATCGAGCATGCATTGAAAAGCATAAGATCTTGGGTCAGTCTTAGGGTCAGTCCAGCGGCCGACATCTTACCCCGCAGCCTTAACATCGGTTACTACGATTCGGTCTGTGAATACTATTGTTCCGCGATAAACATGACTCATTGCCATTGTTTAAAATTGCAGTCCGTCTTCAATCATCTGGTGCCAATGGACTTGTAGTATCTTTCCCCTTTCGTCTGAGGTGGTTCGCCAATATCTCAATAACTAAGTGCGTCGTCTCAAGATAAAGCCAACCCAAGATAAGCCGGCAAGGGAGAAATCAACCTCATGGGTTTTTATTGTCTTATTCAGGGGCCGTGGAGTCCCAGCGGCCTTATGATGGTTCAGATAGATAGTTATTCCAGATGTCCTTTCAACCAGGAAGGGGACCAATGGCAAGCAGGTCTCATATATAAGGATTATGAATACAGCGATTTCTTTGACGCAGCTGTCTGCAAGGAGTTTCGCCAAGTCTCATACATCTCGATAGGATTTTGTCCGTGTCTTTCACACTTCTGGTAGATTTCCAGTGGTGGCTATCGAATCGAGTACAGTGCTAACACCGATAAAATCCTCGTGCAATCTACAAAACATACAAGGGACCTGACTTGAAGCTCACAATGTAAGAGTGTAGTAGGAACAACTAGTGACGGCCAAAAAAGCTGAAGTGTATGGTAATTCACCGGGCAGAAATAATGTGATGCGTGGTGCCGTAGCGTGCGGCGATCACAGAATAAACCATTGGATGATGTCTAGTATGAATTGTTCGTCGATTTTTGGGAAAGACAGTGACAATGTAGCGTGAAATCCAGAATTTTCCCGGCAACTGCTATCGGAAATACGTTCTATGCTTGGATTTTGTTTGATCTTGGTATTTTTTTTCGATATTGGCTATCGAGGCTCGAGTCGCATCGTTCCTCTGTGGGTCGGAGTAATATCCAATCCGTTGTTGCGTGGGCTTTGGATAAACGAAGAAGCGTACTTATTCAATTGGTTCTGAGCACTACGGGGAATTGGTGTCGAACGGTCTCGAGGTGAAAGTAGTTTAACAGAATCTGGATATTGTCCAAGCTGAGATTGGGTCTCAATGGGAAAGACCCACTCTGATGAATATCTCGTAGTCTGAGGTGGCGGGCGGATCGCACTCTGCCCCTGAGGCTCGTGCGGCGTTTGTGGATAGGCGATGGAGGCTTCGCGACAATATGATGAACAGAACAGATCCCCACTTGTTTCTTGACCGCAGCGAGAGCATTTTTCGTACAGTGATGGCATAGCTAAGATGGTGCGGTAGACTCTTTTGACGATTTTGAGGTGCATGAGGTCAGCCTTTAAGTTCTTGAAGAGATGATGTAGTTGAGGGTAAAACGGTTGTTGCCTATCAGGTGTATATTTCTCCTTTCTGCATACAGCTCGTCCAGAGCGTCACGTTGCGCTCCGCAGGCACAGGATCGTTTCTAAAGTACAGAAGATAGTTTTGAATCAGGGCAGCAGCGTATTTATCCGTCTCAACCTTAGTAGCAAACGATTCCGACAAGAGAATGATATCATCCAGTGACCGTTCTGGCGAGGCCGACTCCAACGCACAGTTCACATTCAAGGTTTGAGGTTTGACAATGAAAGGTTGATTAGAAGGCTTCGCAAAAAAGGTCAGGAATTGTTCTTTGATATCCCTTTCAGTTGCCAATAGAAAGGGATAGATTCGGTCCACACGGCCAGGGCGCTGAAGAGCTTCATCGATGCTGTCTGGCTCGTTCGTGGTCATGATCAAAATGCGACCCTCTTCAGCAGATACGCCATCGATGATATTCAAAATTTCGGAGAGGGTTATACCACCATGAAAGCGCTTAGAGGATTCAGGAGTATCGATGTTCTCTCCACAGTCCGGATTGCCTGACGTATCGTCAGTCAAAGGGCGGGTTTCGTCAAGACCGCGATTTGCGATGCCAGCTTGATCCACATCCTCCAGAAGCACAATACATCTATCAGGAAGGGACAGAAACAAGCGACTGAGACAGTCGCCATTAATGGTCTTTTCGAATTCAGACTGACTGTGAAGATTTGGAGACTTAACAAACCCGCAATAGCAAGGCAAAGACTCGATTTACCGGTACCAGGCGGGCCTTGGAAGAGATACCCCCGTCGGTATGGAATGCCACGTTCGTGATACCAGGAACGTGTGCGCGGTCGGAGGAAGTCAGTCAAATCGGCGATAAGTGCGCGCTTGATATCGGGTTCGACAATGACAGTCGAGAGAGGTCGTGGTCTTTTGGATTGTAGCCCGGCCCACTGAGGAGCCATTCCATCCTTCAATGCTTGGTTTACGCGTATAAGATCGTCGTTCTTTTTCACAGCAATCCCCTGTATCTCGTGCAGCAGATCTTTGAGAACGGGCTGACACCACGCATAGAGATATACTTTCTCGCGATGATCAGTCCAAGGGCTGCCGGCATCTTTGTATGGCTGACGACGAAACCCGAGAAGATACCCTCGATGAAAGAAGAAGTGAAAGCCAGCAGGTGCAGGTGTATATCGAATAGGCAGATATCTCTGTAGTTGTCTAATTTTGACCCAGAAATCTCGTGGGTCGTCGTCAAACTGCTGAAGTTCTTCCTCAGAAAGCTCCTGCCAGTCAGTTTTTAGCTCTTCCTTCTCCCACCGAGAGACGAAATTATTCTTGGTACCGGCGATCGATTTCCGTGCGTCCCTTAACGCAGGTAATTGAGACGCCCATTGTATCACGTCGTTGTATATGGTATCGTGATATCGGACCTCAACTGATGCTGCCAAATTGAGAAGAACAGAATACAGGCGGGTCAAAAGCACCGGAACAGCATATGTGAAAATCACGAAGGAAGCTATAAAAGCAAGAAGAAAGACTGAAGTATCCATGTACAGATAGAACGAGATAAGGCGAGCCAGGAAGCTGTAGCCGGGTAGCAGACTCTCAAGCATGGCATCAGATGATAATATACCGTACATAACTTATGTCGTATCCATAGTATCCATAGAAGCAAGTGCGGGTGGACGATCAGACACTGCGAATGCTGTGGCCTGGCTCGACATACGAGCTCGAGGGCAGTCTTATGTACTAGCCAGCAGAGCAGGTGTCTAGAGATTAACCACATTGCAAAATGCTTTCAGCTACAAGATGTTCTGGTGAATACGATGCTCCTTGGTACGGGGCGATGTGCGAATGTATAGTCACATGACGCGCGCTTTCCGTCGGTTTACTTACTCCTGCGCGGACGCGCTCTTAATTGGCACTTGGGGCCGCGGACTAGACATAATGGAGATGGCACGGCTAGTAAAGACGTATCCTGGTAGAGAAAGTTCCTCGTCACGGAGGCGGAGTTCAAAGGCTCGTAGGAGAAGCATAGAAGCGCGATAATAGTTTCGGAGAACAGATAATGGCCAGGAAAGGAGCAGGTACGATGGCAGTGCACTAGTTTCAGAGATTTGTGGCCACTAAGCATACAATACTCTCTGCCGCACCTGTCAGGGATATGCTTCCTGCCTGAGGCCAAGAACTCTGGCTGCGTACTTTTTCTTTCAAAACGCCAAAATGTGTCAAACTTGCGTGGCCACTCGATGACTAAGGGTAGGATTGTGTAGTTAAGTGGGGGTGGGCCCGAGCGCATCAGTACCAAGTGGGTATCAAACACAAAGAATTCAATACTGGGAAAGGCTTGTCGGTAAGAGTGCACGGTCCGAATCCTCGTTTATCATTCGCGACGACTGTAAGAAGCCCATCGCGGCCAAGGAAGCTGCGAAACGGCAAAAATGATTGCCACATAGCCGCATCAGTCGTCCATTTGATGCCTTAGTAAGCACGCATAGTTAGATTGTTTCCGTCACGGTAGAATGAGCTCCTCTTGGTGTCAGGTCAAGTGTATGGCCTAGTGCGCTATCAACCTCACTGGTCGCTGGGCTCATCAGATGTTCTAGACAAGCGCTTGCCACGCAATATCTCTGACCAGTGTCAATCTTCATAGAGCGAGCTAGTGCACTGGGGTGGAGGAAGTTGTACTAACCTATACTGTCTTCCTAGCTCATCCCAGTAGTTGGAGGAATGATTGCCAAGAATTCCCCATGCTACAAGCAACAGCAAAACAATGATGAAACATAGAATAGCAATTGTGTCCGGCATGATGTATATGATGAAGAGGGGGTCTTCGGGCGTCGTAAACGCTCATGTATCGGTCATAAAATTGGCAATTGCTTGGAGAAACAATATGACTCTGGAGCAAGAAGGCGCACCCAAGCTTTATATCACACACCCTTCTTTTAGATACAGTATAACAGCGGGCTTCGTTTCCGAACGACGATCATCACTGCTCTGATTCCCACGGCGAGAATTCTCGCAGCCATCGGTAGGTAAGATGCATGTAGCTTGTGTACCAATAAATCCGACCATCTCTAGTCTAGCCAGTACTTCACTGAATCAGTCACTGCGCTTTGGGCAATTTACTAAGTTCGGCTACTGCAAACTGAATGAGGGGAAAGCAGAGATGCAGGGGCGGGCACTGATGTCCATGTCATGTCGGGTACAAAGAGTTTCAATATACCAGAATATGTCAAATGGGGGCGGGGGAGGGTTAGTCTCCAAAGCATTACGCCTCTTTCCAATTGTGGAAGCATGACGGGGCGCATAGGGGTAGATAGGTTTGGCCGCTGACACACGCAAAGCAAGGACATGCTCTAAAGTGACCTCTCACTCTCATAAAGCAAGGCGTCTCCGCCTATAGCTCAAGGAGTAACACATAGCATATCGTGCTTCAGAATCCATACATTTCGCCATAAATTCACTTTCTCGACTACTAAGGTCACGAAAATCATGGTAAGTTCACCCTTCTTTGTATCAAGAAGACATTAGCTGAAGTATGGCTGTGGTTCCAGCTTGAGATCCACGAGCATTTCCTACGAGTCCCCGCGCAATCTGTTTTAAAGACTTTGCAGGTGTTTTGCCTGAGTCAAAAACTATTCTGCAGCGAGAATTTCAAGAAAAAAATCAGCAAGGAAGCCGAACTCCTGTTGCAAGAATGCCAGGGCCTAAAAGAGGAGGCATTCTACAAGGATGATGTATCCCACCTTATGGGTAATGAGCTACTCTGTGACCATGTGGAAGAAATTCCCAGTAAGCTCACTCAGGATGCTTTGCTTAAACTATCTCTTCTTGCTTGGCACTTTGACTCGAATGGCTCTGTTTCCGAAGAGCTTCGTCAGTTCGTCGCCGAGCCCAATGCCATGTTTCACCAAGTTTGCAAGTTCATCCGGAATCAGTATAACGCCAGGTCAGAGGGTTTTTTGTCAGTTGAAGATTTCGAGAGAGAAATGATGCACTTGTTGACATTCCTCGAAGCTGCTTTTACAACTGGATGGAACGTGATCTTCGTGAAACCAAACTACTCAGGTATTTACACTGAGTAGTCGCAGACTTGAGGGAGAGTTCGACTAATATTGTTGATGCGCTACCATTTTTTTTGTTCGCTCAGAAGGCCTTTCAAGCAAGCAGCAACTCATTGTATTTATTTTTAAAATACATTTGAGTTAGAACAACTCTTCGATTGAATTGATTGCCACCCATCAGATAAGAAAATGACAAAAGCATCTTCATTCCATGGATCATCACCACTGCGAATTCTTGACATCAAAGTTTATCAAATTGTGAACCCGCATCGAATGCTAAGAGAACATTGCGTAGCCTTTTTGTTTTAAGCTTTCTGTCCAACTGTGACCCGTGGCGCAATGCTAACGACGAGGACAAGGCCTTTTGACAGGGTGGTTGGGTGTTCGACCCAGATAGATTTGCCGACCGTGACTCTCGAATCACCAATTAGATTTGTACTCTCTATCCTAAGGATAGTATAGACAGCCTTAATGATGTTGTGAGGCGTGATAACATCCTTGGATGTCCGGATTAGGGAGTACTTTCCTACCTAACAACTAATAATTAGTGATTCGAAATTAACCTGGTCCTAGAGCCTTACCCCTTCATATATCAAATTACGCAGCGGAATCAAGGGTATATCGATATCAATAGATGGAACGATAATACCGGAATCACTAGATTCGTCCTTCACACGAGGTAGCGTACCGCTGAGCCAGTTGTCCATTTGAGATATGAATCCACATATCTTGGATTCTACTATCGCATCATGAAGTTCTTGCAGGTGTTCCAATGATTGCAGGCATTCAATGATAATATCTACATCATCAGCCGTTGGATGGGTAAACTTGGAAACCGGGTTCTTACCGGACGGCGAACTTGTGCCAGCATCATGCAGTGGACGGTGACTGTGGCCACGCGCTTGGCGATCGTAATAAATTGGAACAGGCTGTACCGACTCATCAGGAAAGACAGGGTGTGTGCGAAGATTCGGCGAAACTTCAGACTAATAGTGTTACTAGTTGCGAGTCGCCGCCGGGTCCGGCTTTCCATCCACATACCATGGCCTGATGTTGTACTGACACTGTTATCTAAATCCTTGCCATAGTGTTCGATGACAAACTGCAACTCAAAGCAACGTGGCGGCCTGGGCAGATATTTCGATGGGATCGAAGCTCCGAGGCACTTTTGATAGCATGAGTAAAATTGGTTGAAGTCATCCTTCCTTAAACTTAGCCCTTTGTGGGCCTTATCATCAATATCTTGGAAATGTCGATATAGAGTGTCTGGTCGTGGGAAACCTCGCAGACATACTGGACACAAATACTTAATCGTTGATCGCCGAAGAACCTCTTTCTGTGTATTGAATTCCTCTGGAGGCTAGACATATTGGAGGGAATGAAGTCAAAGGAGGAAAATTAACACTGTGGGGTAGAGAGTCTTAGGAATAGGCCTCGCTCTCCTCGTCAAGTTTGACAGTGTTTGGTATGTTGCTAAGTGGTATTGTATTGGCAACAGATACCTGCTGAGGATCTACTTTCCGCTAGTGCGGAAAGGAACCTCTTAGCCTTTCTCCTTAACCATACTGATACATTACTCGTTCGGCCAATCAACGGAAGAAGATCCACCTCTCGTTCTCTTCTCGCTTCATATTTGACTTGGAATGGTGCTTGAAATGAGGAACACATACTACAAGAACTCCCGGCAATTACTGAGCTCAGAAATATGGCGTGTAATTAAAGCACAACCAAGCTTCCCAGTAATATCTAGGTTTTTTGGGAAGCAACCAGCGAATTTTATTTTACCCGTTACGTCAAGAAATTCGAGAGTCAAGATGGCTGAGTTCCACTCTCTACGAAATCCGACGTAGTCTTAAAACGCAAAACTATGAGGTACTTCTCGAGCCTTCACTAATTTTATTCAATAGGCCTTATTTCCGACATGGCCCGGTAAGCATTAGATCAGAAGTAGTGATATCATCAAAGCATCCCTTGGTTCTTCATTTATTGGTGAAGTCTCTCCCATACGCCTCGGGATGTGTGGTTCATGAATTGCTGAAAGTCGCCTTGGTATGAAAGTTCATTGTTGTTGCTGGCTTTGAAAAACCCCGGTTCGGTATGGACAGAGGCTAATTCTCATGCTTCAAAGGGCAAATGAGTTTTATACACCTTTAATGACTGAGAGGAAGTGTTCATTTGAACTAACACAGCAGGTCAAATTAGCATTACAAGTACAGAATGATATTATCGCCTCTCGTGACTCCGACTGACCTTTTTCAGCATCATTGGCATAATGTTCAACCACAAACTTAACCTCAAAACAATCGAAACCATAATGTAGCTTTTCGGCAGGGATTGAAGCCCCCAGAGCCTCTTGGTAGCAGTCAAGGAACTTTTCAAAATCAACTTTTCGCATGCTGAGACCCATATGAATGTTGTCTTTCTCGGTCTTGAAGTGGCGGTAGAGGACATTGGCACGGGGAAACCCTTGAAGGCATTGAGGACAAACGACGCGTATTGTGGACTTCTGTATAATCACTTTGAAAGCACTTAGCTGCATTTCTAAGCTCGACATATTGTGCTTTTATAGAGAAATCTGATGCCGTGCTACTTAGACAACGCTCAGGTAATTGGAAGGATTAAATAGGATGAGAGACTATATCAACTGTCATGCACAACTCAGACTGATGATCATTCTCTCTCACAAATCTACTGATGAATTGCAATCGCGAAAGCACCATTTTCTAAGGCACTAAAACCGAACTCTTATTGTATGTCGACAAGCCATGTATCAATCTTTGTACGCTAATGTATGGCTGACTGCATTCACAGGCATTGGCCTTCATACCACCTAGCTTGCTTAACGAAATGATTTGTTGGATCAGGAAAACTCCGACTGAAGATTTTCTCACGGTTTTCCTTCGCCCTCTTCCGAGCCTTATCTAGATCTGATTCCTTAAATTTCCCTCTGCGTATCGATTCAGTCATCTGATCCAGAATGATGCAACTCCAGCCAGCTTTAACCACTGCAAGTGATGCTGATCTTTCGAGTCTTTTGAACTCGCCCCAAGGAAGGCAGTCATAAAAACGATACCGAAGGAATGTTATCACGAGATCATCGGGTCCTCTTTCCACATCGCAAAAATGATAATCTGAACATGTCAATGGAGAGACTATTAAGCAATGCAAGGATATAACAAACCTCTTCTCTTGCGATGTCGCCCTGGTAAAGGTTATCCGGTTGTTAAAGCCTTTCCAGAGCGGAATGAAATTGGCGAAGCAGTCCATCACTTCTCCGAGTAGAAATCTCCAAATAGTAATTCAAGAAGCTACCCAACATGTAGGAGAGTCTGGGCAACCGGCAGACTCAAGACAGCTGTGTATATGCTGCCGAAACCTGTTGCTCGAGCTCCCTATTTATTACTTGTATGTCTGCCATGACCTGTCTCTGTCAACGAATCACGGCAGTTTGTAGACTGCCGAGAGATAACTGGCTATTGCCACCGTACCAACGCTATGTGCCCCGTAGTCAGTGACCCATAATGCAATATATCAGTCGACAACTCTGAACAATTAGTAGTTATACAACGGAATTCCAGTGGTTTTCAAGTAGGGTTTGTGCGAATTCTCGGATTACATTAGGCTTCTTTCCCAAAACCCGTTAAGGTCCCAGTTTTGTCAAATTGGCAAGACACGCTGGTTATTAAAGGAAACGATTTGTGATTGAATATGTTATTTCAGATCATTTGCTTATGTGAATTAACTCCATCATCATGCGGGATTGACACGTCAAAGGGCTCCCCCTGTTGCCACTATGGGTGTTTGTGTTGTTTGTTTGCGCTGTTTGCACTTGGTTGCGCTTGGTTTTCTGGACATCTTCGGATGACCCGCGTGGGGCCTTGCTCCTTCGCTCTCCTCACGCTTACTAACTCACGTACCACGTGATAACGAGGGGTAAAGCGGTTTGAGTCAAACGCAGCAGATCTGAGTTGGGCACCTAAAGGTCAATGACTGCGATAAGTCATACAGAAAAATATCTTGCCACGTACAATCATCCCTATGAGTTATTTCCTTCCACTGAAATATACTTACATCCTTTCATTCTGGTCCTGATATTTCTTATGAGAAATCTCTAATGATTGTCCTTGCATTTCAGATTGGATCCGGCTGATATTACCTGCAAACGTTCTCACTCCTCAAAAGGCACCAAAACCGCACCACGGCACCAACTTTACTCATACCTTATCATAGTTTTATACGTGGGGAAATCTCTCAAGCAACACAGAAACAGTTGAGTGATTGTGAGCTGGGCTTATTTACGATGCTTCACAAAATCAAGGCACGCAGATCCATGACGCAAGACGAGCTTCTAGAACTATGTAAAACCGAGGCAAGTAGACTAGAGAATCTTCAGAGAGAGAAACTTCATGCTAAGGACGTTCAGCTTTCTTGCTCTCACTGCATTATTGTGCCAGGGCCAACGACAGAAGTTGTATATAAGACCCTGCCGCCCACGAATACCATTGCCGTTGTCGTCGATATATCCTCATCTGGTGGAGCAATAAAAATTGGGGAGAAAGCAAATAATGATCTAGGTGTAGCAGCTGTAGGTAGGGTCGGTACAGAGGATGCATCTGATCTGGTCATTGTGCCGTGGAATGTCGATTGGTGGTTCTACTCGATTGGATCTGTTAGCATTCAATACGTTGTAAAGGTAGGGTAGGCCCTGTTTCTCAACTTACACATGATCTGGTGTCTTTGGGTGCTAAAATGGAGAGACATTTCATCTGTGACAGGAATTGTTATGAAAGACAATGATGCGTTGTCAAATGGTTCTGTCAACCATACTTGTCCAGCAATTTGGTCTGACGTAGCAATTACGCGAGCATCTTCTTGCGTAAGTGCAAATACCCGTCCAGAGAGAGTGCCTTACACTGTAAGTGTTGATACTATTCTTGTGAGCAGGGCACACTGACCTTGTCTAGGGCTTGAAGAAGTGCCTGCGCCAAGTGTAGCGGTTCCCACTGGCCCTGCCTGAGCATTTCTCGCTTGTATCCATGGTTCCAGTCTTTCGACAGATGCAGCACCAAATACAGGTCTCGATATCGACGTTATGGTATCTTGCAACTGAGCTGTGGTGTCAATCGCGCCAATCAAGTCATCATTGGTCGGCTTCGGTGCTTCGAGCTCCCGTGTTGTTGGAACGCAAGTGGTTTCTAAAACCGAGAAAGTTAGCTGGGAGAATTATGTTGATGCGGGCATATGCGACCTTGAGAGTACTTCAGAGCAAGAGCACGGATAAGACCGCATTTAAATTCATTCTCTCGCTTTTGAATGACTGACGGAAGACGAAGGCGTATATGTTCTCTCATGTAACCAATAGTTGTTTGTCCAAGGCCAAGAGCACAAGGAATGACTAAGTCAACGTCAAGCTTCTTCAGAAAATGTCGATAATTATCTCGCCTTTCGTCTGCCTTGGATTGCACTGCCTGACGAAGCGAATGCCTCAAAGAAAAGGCATCTTGCAGCTTCTTCTTTTCGTGTGGTTTGAAAATAGCTTCAATATCAGCTTGGGCTTCATGCCGCAATCTAATCGTCTCAATCGTTGACAAAATTGCCGAAATAGCCTCTGGTATCGTGAGAGATGCGTATGGATGTTTCCTCGCTGAACGGCTTGTCATTTTTCTTTCTGTAAGTATATGACCCGTGTATGTTTAGAAAGAGTCAGTGGAATTCCATTGGTTTTTGTATGATCTAGGGCAAATGATCGGAGGACATAAAGGTGCGGGGGTGACTTGGCGCGGCGGCTAACGTATGGCGCAGTTCTGCTTAGACTAATCCCATTCCGAACAAATCCCAGTGGAAATTTACTGGGTAAGTCACAGAAATTGAGTGGAATAACCCTGGTTATTGAAAGTATACCTATATACTATTATCACATGCATATATTCCTCCTGCTTCTCCACCAAAGAGTATCCTAAGCCAGGCAGGCTTTCTCAAGAAAATATTGTCTGGCCTCTCCTGATAACTATGATTAAGTTCGCTTATTGTGATGCTAGTCTTCCAGACAGCTTGATTGGACGTCGTCATCTCCGGCGACTCGCTTTGATCGAAGTTGCATGGCTAATGCAGACAAACTCACGAACTAACAATGCATCCCCCTCTAAGAATGGTCAGATTGTCTATTAATTGCGTTGCGACACTGCGAAAGTCGACAGATGCAACTGGAATATGGTACCGTGCGCCGTCGAGAAATTTTTGTCTCTGCTTTTTAAAGAGAAGCTATAAATCAGGCTGAGCCGATCGTTCCAGGTCGGAATTTCAGCAAACAAAAACCATCAAAAACATTGCTCTTCTATCATACTATCATAATTCTTTCTGAGCCAGACTGACCTATTTGGCAATGTCTTTGACGAACCTAAAGGTCAACAGTCTCTATATTCTCTTATTCATCAGGAATCATCCTCCTGCCCCCAACGATTTCCACTGGGGCCTCTACTTCCACCGCAACCCCGACACTGGAGGAACCAAGTATCACATCAAGCAGCAAGGCAGTGGCTGGATTGCTGACCATGCACCTACTGCCGGAGTCTTCAAGTCATTCCTTCTCGTTGGACTTTTCAGGATAGCTGATGTTCCGGTGGGATGGGAGAGTCACCTGGATCAGACAATGAAAGCTTACGACAATCAGCTGAATTTGCCTGGGATTACCTGTCGTGTTTGGGTTCTCTGGGTCCTAGCTCTTTTACAGAAGCCAATTGCTGGGAAAGTTATCCTGAAGTGCAGCAACCTTCAGAGTCTCGAAAATGAGGTTAAAGACTGGGGCAATGCCAACGCGACGAGTGCAGCGAACAATGTTCAGCCAAGGCCATTAGCAGCTTCTACTTTGTGCGGACTTTGAAGATGAGTCATGTTTCATGGTATGGTTAAACTTTTTCTCTCAGCTATGGTAGAGTAATAGCTAACATATTATTTCAAGGCTGGAAAGCCTACAAGGGTCTAGAACCGCCCCCGCCTGTATAGCGTCAGGCTTTTAGCAATGATTCGTGCTGTATCTCGAGTAGGTATTATACTTGGCAGACATAATCTCAATGTTGTTGATGGAACTTTATTCTACCCTGTAATTAGACTGTAGCCTAGATTCTTTCCCCTTTATCGCCCGGGTCGATCATGTTAAATCAGTATTAAGATGAATTGAGAGTTTGTACACGGACTCGATAATGAGACCACTATATCTAATGACTTGGTATTTCAAATTATCTTCGCTTTGCTTGAATATTGCGGCTTGAGCCACGATACATGAAGCACCTCTTTAGCACAAGGGTATGATTGATTCGAGATTTTATGTTTATAGAAGTAACTGGGATTGATAATTTGGGCAAGAGTTGAGTAATTCACCAGTAGTACGAGGCACTGGTCAAAGAAGTCAATGCCCTCTCACAGTCTAATTCCAACAAATAAGACTTTCCACCAAGCTCAATCACGAATTGATACCACCAGAAGTTCTCCTGCGCGAATCTCAAGGCTGTCGTAAATTCCCAGTATTCAGGATACCAGCCTGCTGATTCCCAATCTAGAAAACCTGTGATGCGTCCCCTATGGATCATGATGTTGTGGTGTTGTAAATCACCGTGTGTAAAGACAACACGATGGCGTAGTTTATCGATTCTTCTGGCTCGGTTCAATGCCTCGCTGTAAGCCTTTTCCGATGAAAATCCACCCGACCAGGCAGGTTTAATCAGGTAATCGTTGAGTTCTTGCTCTGACTCAAAAGGACCTGCAAGGTGATTGGGTACCCGGACACTTCTAAGGGGCGTGCCCAATAAAGAGCAGATTCTGCTCTCGCCCCACGGGTTTTTCCAGTTCCTTATAGTTGTCAAGTACTGATCGAGCTGTTGAGACACCGCGTCTTTCTCTTCGTTGCTGAGCGCCTCGTAAATTTGACCCAATTCCTTGCCAGGAAGACGTGTCATCAGAATCGAAACCGGCGCATGAGGAGTATCAGCATGCTCGCCATAACATATGACTTTTGGTACTGGTAGACCTGCTTTTCTAGCAACTTGCATAGCTAAAACTTCCTCTAGCCGTGTTCCATCCGACCATTTTAAAATGAGCCCAAAAGGAAGCTGAGCGATCTGGTTATCATAGGCGACTCCGACCCAGCTGCAATACGAACGAGAAAACCGTCTGAGGTATTTGTGGACGATGCCCCAGAATTGACGGATTCGTGGGTGGGTTGCCTGAGGGACAGGTGGTAGTTGGTCGCTTAGAACTGTCGCCTCATGATCCGACCACGTAAAACTTGGGAGTAAGAGACGAGGGACTAGCCACTGTAGCATTTTGGCTGTATTTTGCAATGAATTTGTCAACGAAATCCCTTCCAGTGAATGCGATTATCTAGAAAGACTAGAGCCTAGATCTCGACCTGAATGTTGCAGGTATTTATGTTCAGACAAGGTGAGATGTCATCCTATCACGTGCCGAAAGGCGGTGTAAAATCGATGGCTTACCCGTTGTACGAGCGGGCTAATGCACGTATTGGTCTTTGCAACGTAAAAATAAAACAAAATGATTAATGAAGACAGTCTCCAGGTTGATAATGCCTAGCAGTTATGCCTCCGCACGGGGCTCATTAATCATGTATAGCCGCTGTAAGTTCATACAGCTGATTACGAAATGGTAATACTGAATAGGTCATCTCAAAGCGAACTAGTTCTGAATTTTTTCGTCCAAGCACCAGCCACCATGTCCCTTTAACCTTCTTGTCGGTCGAGCCCGCTTCCTGATTTGTTGGAAATGAAGCACTGGCTGAGAGGCGATTTGCTCAATATGGGGTAAGAAGAAGAAAGATGTTTACAAGATTCCTGAGCAACTTATCTCAAGCTATTAGATCCCAGAGACAGTTAAGACATAATCAGAATGAGGGATGCCCAATAAAATATAGTGACAATGGCGACATAAATCAGAGGAGCCGTCGGCGACTTGGTAGCTGAAGACTAAAGAGAGGGAGATTAATGATAACCACACTAAAGACAGAAAATGCTCATACAGAACGGCAAGTCTCAGAAGAGGCAGTGACTTGAGCGAGCGAGAATGATGGACGCGTCGGTTTTCGAGGAGCGAGGTTGCGCTTATGCAGTTTGAACAGGTGCGTTGACGCGGCGGAAAAATCCCGCGAAGGCGGCGGCAAGTGACGCGATCCCCAAAAGCTTTAGACACTAGGCCGCATCTGGTTGCAAGATGCCCACAATCAACCAGGCGGTGGTTAGCGACAGAGAAACAGTTCAATGGGAGCCGTTTCCCACTAACCAACAGATTGTATACAAATCAATAAACCCGAAGAGATGAAATTTTGATGGTATACATTGTTCAAACAAATGGCATATAGCCCGTGCTACCGCCAGTATCGGTCTCGTTACGCATTGAATGGACAAAGATTAACAAAGCGGAGTTTGAACAAGCGTTGTCAAGAGCTCGCGCGTTAGGATATTCAACCCTGAAACAGGGCGAAGTACAGAAAGAGTCAAGTTTATCTTTAGTAGTCAGTCTCTCTTGACCTTGGTGCTCCAATATACTTGAATAGAACCTTTGCTTCTTCCTGGATATCGATCCGAGAACAACTTTGTCACCTCAGACCAAGGTAGCTTTCGATCTCTTCTTAACTCAACCAAGAGATTCACTTCATTAGTTGACCACGGTGTTCCTTTCCTAGATGCCTTTTCATTAGGCACACGGCTGTATTCCATATTATTCGAAGTCCCTTGCTCTTTTTCTAATAGAGTTAGGCAGCAGGATCGGCTCGACTCTTTGCCCCTCTTTTGACACGTCCCAAATGAACTTCCAGTGACCTTGGCTTCATTGAATGTGCAGTGCGATAATGCTCCTTCGAATAGCCAGGATAGGAACTCTAAACGTATATTGATTGGTGCAGTGAGGAATTGAGAACGGATAGTATCGAAAGAAATTCCCTTGGGCGTAGAAAAGGCGGCACTTCTAGGTCGTTTCGTTGGTTGTCACTCAACCTCGCTCTGTTCATGGGGGAGCCGCTTGCGGGACTGAGAGCGACTGCTATCAGTAACGACAGCGTTGTGGGGTTCGTCTTCGATCCATACCACATCGACGTCAATCTTGTTGCCGACGGTCTCCAGATGTTGATCTAGCTCGCTGCAAGAATGGGCCCCTCTATAGAGAGCCAGCTATTTTGCTCCACGGGATGAATGGAAGCACGACAAAAATAGTTTGTTGCGTCTCGTAGCAAGAATGGTGACTCAGGGTATAGACAATCCATACGTTCATGAACAGGCCCAAGATTGTCTTCATGGGGGACGTAGCCAGGCAGACTTGCATTTCTAGAGCAACCATCGTTTAGGATGGGTGGGTCGATTGGAATAATGTCTGGTTCTTTTCCTATGGGCCACAGCTCTCTTGGGTCCTCAGAGTTACCAGGTGAAGAAAGAATCTCCACTGAATTGTAGGTAGACGTCCGTATATCGGTAGAGTCTTCCGTAGTGTCCCTGGAGTCGAGGCTGGAAATAAGGACTGGAATTGCTGAATCGCTTTGTGTCTGCATGTGCGGTGTAGTTGCAGTGTCTTGAGGATTATGATCAAGCAGTTTACTCAAGAGTGAAGTTGCTTTATGATGCAATAGGCCGCGTGAGCTTGACTTAATGCTTGCTCTGGCGTTGCTAGGCATGTATGCCTCGGCTAGAGGTCGTCCACGCGGATGGTCCCGGTGACTGTCCAGTGTAGAGTTACTCGGACTATCAAGAGATGGATAGAGTTGCGATGCTTGAGAAAAAGGGTTGGTTGTGGAGATATCTGAAGTTGAATGTGGAGAAGAATGTAAAGGACGGGCAGGTGAAAATATCTTGATATTCGAGGGTTTCCATGGCCTGAAAGCATTAGATTGAAAGGTGGTCCTGCTCATTTTGTCGTGAGCTTAGTAGTGGTGGTTGATTGCGACGAACGGAGAACGACTGTAGAAGGATGTTTAAAGAATAAGTATTCGAAGGTTTTGACGGCCTTCTTATGTCGTCGAACAGGACCCCAGCTCCATCAGAAAGATGCACGTGAGTATACCAATACACATTCATGGGGCCGTCTGTGACTCTCGGTCGGTCCACCCTAACAACCAGGAAGTAATAGAGAAAAGACCGGTTTTCGATTGATTCATTTTTGTGAACTAGCCCTCTCTATCGTCGAATCACACTCTCTGTTAACGCGTACTCTCGAAAGAGACATACTCTGTGCAGTCAGATCAGAGGCTCCAGTACTCATGTCGCTCAATAGACGCGCAATTTATCTGAGTATGTGTCTGAGGCTAATCGAAGGATCGCCAACGCTGAACGTGCGGGATTTTCGCCATTGGTTGAGGGATTTGAGGAACACAGATAATAAAGGAGAATCGACTATTATTTTGAATTCGAGCAGTACGACAATACTACTAGTCAGCCAGGCTTAGCCCAAACGAATGAGGACTGGACGTCTTCTCAGACATCAACGCGCTAAAATGGATCATTGCCTTCCCTAAGTTTCAAGAACCGCATTCAGTGAAATATCCGGGTGTAGAGAAAAAAGGCTTCTTGGCTATCTCTTCTGCTAAAGTCCAGTAACGGACATAACGGGGTAATATCGCTAGTCAGCCAGGCTTAGACCGGACGAAGGAGATTGGACGTCTTCTTCGGACTCTCACGTACCAAATGAAATTAACTACCTCGCTTAAGTTCATTGCAGCCGCTTCAAGTAAGCGGGTTCTCAGGAGAGAGAAGCGCTTTCAGTTATCCTGTCGGCTGAAGTTCTGCAATGGACATAACCAGGCAAACTCGTCAAGTGCAGCCGCCCTAGAAGCAAGAGTCACGCGGGCAATACGGAATAGCTCATCCAGTCCTAAAAGAGCCTCCAGGCGAGCTTTTTGTTGCGTACAAAGTACAGGAAAGAAGCAAGAAAGTATCCACCAGGTCAGATAACGCATCAACGACTCCGAAGAGCGCGTGTGGTAGGAGATGAAAAGCGGGCCATAGGATGGAAGTGTTACTGAAAGTAGGCAATGCTCGGATATATCGGCATGTTGGAAAGGCGGCGGTGCACATGCTGAATGGTAGGAAGGGGAGAACAGAGAAAATAAAGTGCGTCATCCGTCGAGGAGAGGTGGCGGGAGATATATACAATGTCGTTGCAGCGGCGGGCGAGGAGATAAAGCGGCGAGACGGCAGGCCGGCGACGCTATCCCGCAACAGGCAAGCACCAATCCGTCTACGGAAAGGCAATGCCTGCAAGCGGTGGGCGGCCTCGCGCGGCAGGACGACCAGCAATGGGAGCCGTTTCCGGCGCCCCGCTTGCCGTCCGTCAGAATACTAGTTAACTTAACGTAATCGGTAAGCGAGTGGTCCATGTAGGCGAGTGGCCCAGCTCCGTATTTTATATGAAATAGCTATTATTAAAAGCTAAATATCTCAACCATTTCTTATAAATTTCTTGTAAAACTTAGGATTAAGCTTAATATTACTATGATTTTCTAATATAGCCTCGAGAAAACCTGATATATACTTCAATTACCTAAATATATATGTATTTTTGGTATCCTTTATAATTTAATATAAATTCTAAATATTTCAAGAAATATGATCTTCTAGTCTTTAGAAATGGTACTATATATAGAAAATATACCGAACTAATATGTATTCAAGTTTTATATTCTTAAGTATTATAGTTGTTGAGATATTCAGCTTTGAATAATAACTATTTTATAAGGAATACGGAGCTGGGCCACTCGCCTACATGGACCACTCGCTTACCGATTACGTTATTCCTGCTTATGTATAGCGCTTGGCATCACGTGTGCAAGGAACGTTCCACATAAGCCTAAAGAAAGTTCGCGTGACCTGTGTACACGGATCCAGCCTTTCGCGCTCGTCCAGCTGAGCGTTAGTCAGCCGATACGCTCGGTAACTGACTTGAAAACGACGTGGAAGGTTTAAATAGAAACAGGGCCTCACTCGAAAGTGCGACATAGCAGAAGTTCTTCGTCGTCGATCTGTCAAGCAGAAACTTTACAATATGTATATGTTGTCACTTGTGTATGTTCAATATCTGACTAATGCTCCGACTCCAGCATGGGTTCCGGCCAAAGCATGTCTAATGGTGCCGTACCAAGAACCGTCCAGCTCAAGCCGCCAGGTGGAAGCGCTTTGGACGAAGCCGAGCGGAATGCGGGCGTTCGATCGCGTGCGGTTCATGGCGCCGAATCAACCGTCATCTCTGTCTGCAAAATTGTCCTTCCATTATCTGCCGATGAAAACTGGATCGATCGGGATTTGTGGTTGCAGGATCTTCAGACTGGAGATGCTACCGATGAAGATTCTGCCATTGCACAGTCTCTTCGAAGAAGGATTGCGGAAGGCATTCGTTCTACATCTTGAGAATTTGCGCCATCTTTCGGCGGAACCCTCGTTAACCTTTCATTCGAAGAAGCCGGTCTAACCCCTTCCCTTTTTGCCGCTCTCGAAAAAGAAGGCATAACGCCCGGCTATATACCCTACTCTCCGGACAACGGGAGGGTGACCACCGCTTTAACCTGATTCTGCTTTGGACGCACTGTGCGATGTCGCACATGATAACATTCGTTGATAATCTCCAATCTGGGCTTGGGGCAGCGTAACGCCAAGACGTTAGCCGACCTAGCAGAGCAATGTGCTAAATTCTGCTACATCATACTCCGTCTTTGGGTTTCGCATATTATCTCTTTCGTGGGGGCTTATCCTGTTCCTTACTATTTCGTGGTCGGCTCTAGTTAGTGGCTGGCGGCAACTTGCCGCAGAGCAGGAATGGCATTGCAATTATTCTCGGTTCATTGTGCATCAAACAAGGGTGAAGAGGCCAGCTAATACTGTACGTGGCAAGCTGCAAGAGCTGATAGGAATCGAGTGCACCATAAACCATTCACTAAGCGCGCTATCTATACATCTCAAAGGTCAGCGGTTCTATACCTGGTCCATCGCAACGAGACTCGCCGAGTTAATGATTCTTAGGTGTTTTATCAGCTTGAGAGTATGTTGCCCCGGTTCGAACCAAGCAACAGGCTGCAAACGGGGCTTCAGCCGAGTCACATCCTCTCTCTCTGACCAACGAGCCGGTCGTCAACGGATCCGGGAAATAAGCATAGCAACCAGGCTTAAACTCGCGATGCTCAATCGTGCACTTAATAATGTTTACTCAGATTGCAGCCTGATGGTGTATTTGATGCTGCTGTCCGGATGTGATGCCCCATCGTCGAAGCACAGACAATCTCCAAAATCCGATTACCTCAATCGATCTGGTGCGTTGACACAACACGCAATTGGAGAAAAACATTGACCGATGCACATGGTGCAACATACCTGCGTTGAGTATCGGTAATACTGTTGATGGAGAGGGAACAAGATCTTAAGAATCATTCACAAGTCCTCACGGCCTGAGAATGTTCTTTGAACAAAAAAGCTTAGACGAGCTTTGATTTTCGACTTTCACCGCCCTACACTGAAACCTCGACCGACTTTGGAGCGGTCACGAGCCCCAAAATGACCATTACGTCAACGAGAGATAGGCGATGAAAAATGGCTTTGTGTATTTCAAAGCAATGTGCTTGTTTTATTGTAGAACCCGTCTCATGTGAAGATGATGAGACATCAAGCCCAAAATCCTCTTCCCCCGCAGCTCCTTCTTCTGATCATCTGATAGTTGAATTTCAGACAGCCGGATCGGGTCCAAAATCACGTTCATCGACATCAAGAAATCCTTGATTTCCCAGTCTTTCTCCACCGCTAGCCGATAACAGTCGAACGCGATGTCCTGCGAATTCTTTGAAAAGCTTAGGTACTCGGATAATTGATAGACGGCGACCCTCTGACTAGGGGTGAGGAGCATAGATTTGTGCGTAGTGACGGACGTCAAGCTTGTGGTTGACGAGAATAATATAAGTGAATGGATGGATCTGTTCCTCGGATCTCTACGGAGTAAATTAATCTATGATTAATAGAATATGCAGATTGTGTTGAAACACAAATAGACATGGCATATTACGAGAGTATACTACAAGGAACACCCAAAGTATGTCACCTATCGAATTGCAAGGATAAATGGCATACTGTGGCCAAAACTGGCGTCTGTTTGGTAGAGGAAATCCTTGCTATTACTGATGGTTGGAGTGAATAGCTCCAGAACGTTATAGGTGCCGTAAAATGTGGTTTGATGATCTGATCGACCCTAGCTGACATGTGAGGCGAACCAGACTCAAAGCAAGGCAGGGCTCTCAATCCGAATATGTGCCTGCTTCAGCCATATCCAATGTGCCCTTTCCCCGAAACAAGGCAGCGATTTCCCGTCTCCCAGTGTTCCGGAAGCTTTCGCTATGCCAGCCTTGCCCGCCACTTCCAAGTGGACACGGCGCCACTCAGATGTTCCTACCAAGCCTTCACTGGAATTGTTTGGGTCGTCGGGGAGGGGGGGAAAGTCGAAGTCTAAATTCAGCGGAAAGTACCGACTGTTGAGAGTCACAAACGGTCTGCTGAAGAAAGTCGATTGAAATGTGAGGTCAAGGAATGGCTCGCCACCGCGGTAGGGTGACACTGTGATTCGACTGTATGGAAAGTTGGCGGACTGCGCTGATGTGAATTCAAAGCCGGCACACTAAGCCAGCCGAAGTATTAGAGTCGAGGAACACGAGAAGGGAGAATCAGGCTCACTTACTGCTTTGGGCACATTCCAATTTTTGCGGCCTATATTAAAATGAGCTCCTCAGCCTGGCCGCAGTATCATGTTACATTGCAGGTTAAGTGGGTCCCGTTCGGCCACCAGATCACATCACGGTGGCTTACCACTGTGCACAGCTAGCGGCTTTGATACGTACGCCCTCGTAGAGCGATAGGCCTGCTTCCCATTGCCTGGATGCCGGAATGCCCCTGGAATCCAAAGCAGCTCATCATACATTCCTTCACCGTGGTCAGCAGTCTGCATAGTCTTCGGGAGAGCTCGACCTACCGATGGGGCTCTTATGATAACGAACGATGACACAAGCCTGCAATCCGCCGGCGTATTCCTGATCAGCAAACGGAGAGCCGTGCTCCAGATCATGGTACGAAGCCACAGGTGGCTGTTTTGCGAATGAGAGGCCAGCAAAGCAAACAAGAACGTCTCCAACTGCCCGGTCCCACAAATTCGCGATATCGGAGAATCGATTCTCTTGCTGCCCTTGTGGGTCTACCGGGTACTCCATGGCCAAGGAAAAATAGAGCAAAGAATGATGAGATGTTGCAGTGGTGGGCAAGGATCGTCTGCTCATTTATCGAAGTAATGCACTATGGCTCGTCTGAACTTCGGCTACAGATGAGACATTTAGTATGAGTAGATCTGACCTTACGCCTTGCAAACGACTGGTTCGTTCCCGCTAACCGCTAGCGCTCAATTGTGCAATTGATATAGGTCAAGATAAGCGCAAGGCTGTTGCACAGTTGCTAGCCGCGCCGGGGACGGTCTCATCATCTGTTCGTGGCCGGACCTGTCAGGGTGTAGCGTGAAGTGACGGCTTTCTGTAGAACCAGCGCTCGTCCAAGTATTGGTGCTTACGGTATCAATTGCCTGAGAAACAGCCGTTGGGGTTTATGTCAGATCTCACGCCGGCTGGTTGTCGACGCCTGGACAAGGATATAAATGGCTATGATGCGGTGCTCGTGTGATACGATGCAATCAGCCATCTAGCAACAACCGACTTCGCGATGGAAACAGCGCGCTTCTACACGAATGACTCTGACCTTCTGATCCTAGGTCTCTATGGTGTCTTTCTAGGCTATCAATTGTGCAACAAGACCCGGTCATATCGACCCCGGCATCCAGGTTCGCTGGTATTCAAGTGCAGGCCGGTCCATAGCTAATGGTTTCTGTAGCTCTTTTCTGGCATGTTCTCGCAGGCCTCATTGAGCTGGTGCTCTACTACCGCAACCCGCAGTGTGGTAGAGGGGCGGTCATCGCATGCTGGGTACACTCCTTTACCTCTCTGGCTTTGGTGAAAGGGCTTCCTAATGGCTATCCCCCGCATACCCGTATGCCGCTCCCAACGCTCCGAGTCTCATTTTGACTCTGCTCACTGATAATTTACAGGACCCGTATACCAGGCCGGCTCCCTCATGAGATCAGCGTTGGTAGTGCACGCCTACATCACCCAGACCGCTATGGACTACCACTCCAGCATCATGCCCTTGCACGGTTTTGTGTACACTCGCGCGTTGATCTTTTTGCTGGGAACCATGGGGCCTACTCGGAGTTTCGTGAAGAACGTCAACAGCCCGTTTGTCTATGCACAATCAGTCCTGGGGGCGGCTCTGATTTCGGTGAGCCACTGCCGGGGTTCGTGGCCTGTCCCAGCATATCTGGTCTTAGTCCACGGATTGGGTAAGTTGAGTCTACGGGTGCAAGAAAAGTACCAGTCATGCCGGTAGGTCAACAGTTTCCGTCCCCCACAAAAGCCGCTGGATGAAGCTGAAACTGCTGCAGTGAGGCAGGCGTCTCTGAGCCCTTGTGGAACCAAGCTCTGCGAGAAATGGGGTTCTGCACCCGTGCAGGGCAAGACTTGGCACCCAGTGCACCTCTGATCGGTTATCTTCCCACGGACATGATTGGAGACGTGTGGAGCCAATACATCTAAAGATACGGGTCTAGCTCTCGGCCGATAAGGAATCCATGTCTCGAGCAGATACCGGTGACGTTAGATTGGGTCAGTCCAATACCATTGAGACGCAGGATCTGAGAGCGGTACATGGTCGGTCACTCCATCAGTGACCGCGGCGGGTGGACGGGACACGGTACACAGAGTGAGGAGGTTGTTTGTATGTGATTGGGCGGCAAATGAGAGGCAGTAAGGATTGACTGTCTTACTCACGAAAGACCTACCCCCCTAGAGCAGGTCCAAACCGTAAAAGATTACATGGCTCATCTCAACGCTTGTAGACAGTGTCGGAGTGGGAATGAGTTGCAAAGTTGTTGGGGGTGCCCGCTGTCTCCGACAAGTGCATTGGTGCGGTAAGCCGATAAAACAGTAGAGGAGAGAAGGGGCATGGTCAATCGATACTGGGCGTCCTGGCTCCCACAGAGTGTCTGTCCCCCGATTGAGAATTGGCCCCTCAAACAATGTCATTGACCAGGATGGGTTGAACAGCCGGTGCTGAACTGGCCCTCCAAGAGTCCGTGTTGAACTGAACAGCATGGGAGCTAAGATGATCAAATGTTCGGGGGTCACTGGGCGAAATTGACCAACCGTGCAACATGATCAACCGACGTGTTGAACTGATCGGTTGCTGAGCAGCAGTTGAACAGAAGGATACTATCAGAGGATGTTAATCAAAAGTGCTGCTTCATTTGACGACCACGGCATGGCCTGGAACGCACTGGCGCAGTATAGTGCGGCGCTAGTGAGTCTCGA